GCAGCCCCTGCCCTGCACTGCCCACATCCCTGCCTCCCTCATCCTCAGCGCTCCGTCCGCCTGGAGGCAGAAGCACATCCCTGTGTGGCTTAGAAAGGATGGAGGCTGCAGGGCGTCCAGACAAGCAGCTCTGCTGTGGCACAGCTCAGCTGGGCGCCGAGCCCTGCGCTGCCCTTCGGTTTCTGCTGCTGCCCTGAGTGCATTCTCTGATCCTTTTCCCCAGCAAATCCCGGTGGGGTTTTCCCTCTTGGGCTGAAGTGTGCTTTGGGATGCAGGGAGTGCTGGGCTGGTTGCTCAGGGCTCAGCATTCACAGAAGCACCTTTGGAGTACAGAACTTTATTCCTGCAACTCTTGCAGCCCCGTCTTTGGCGATGCTGTAATTCCTGGTGATGGTGTCTGAACAAAACCCCAACCCTTATGTAAATGCCTGATTGCTTATCTCCATTGCTCGGCTTCCTGCAATTTAGTAACGCAGAAACTCCAGTTTCAGTGCTCGGGGTGGAGAGAGTAAAATGGGCGCACTTCTTTTTTTTGACACGAGCTGTGACTGCAGCACGGCTCCTCGGTGTTGGGGTCTCCTCTTGGAGAGCGTAATTAGGAACACATTGATTCTTATTGCAGCTGGCAGCTGCTCACTATTGCCTTTTTCAGCTTCTGACCCCCATAGTCCCGCTGACCTTTCCTGGGGTTAGTCGTGGGCCCTTTGCATTGTGATGGGCTAGAAGTGGCTCATGTGGAGTTGATTATTTCCTTGCTTGTCTGGCCTTTTTGGTGCCATAACTCCAAGTCACTTCCATTTTCTTCCCCTGCTTTTGGCTGACCACAGTGAAAGGAAATGCTTTTGCTGGCGACAGGATCAGTTTGCATGCTTGACTGCCTCGATTGAGACCCTGAAAAGGGGGGAGGGGGAGGGTAATGAACACTGTAGGTGCTGCATTTGCTTTTTAAAGGCTGATGCTAATGATTGAGAGATCATTAAGCATTCATAAAAATGGCGCTGGGGCAGCTTGGGATCCTTCTGGGTGCCCTCAGCCCTGTGTGCAGAGCGGTGTGTGCAGTGTGTGTGTGCAGTGTGTGTGCAGTGTGTGTGCAATGTGTGTGCAGTGTGTGTGTGTGCAGTGTGTGTGCAGTGTGTGCAGTGTGTGCAGTGTGTGCAGTGTGTGCAGTGACAGCCGTCTGCTCTCCACGCCGTGCCGCAGAGCCCCGCACAAAGCTGATGAAGTCTCTGTGCCAGCTGTTACACTCATTTTGCAGGACCCCAGGAGGACAGCATGAAGACAGTGAGTGATCAAAGGCTTTGCAGATCACTGAGGAGCCGGGGCTGCAGGAATGTCTGATTGCTTTCTCTTGGAATGCCACAGGCTTCAATACCACATTTTTTTTAAGGTGTCTTGGTGTGAGATTTAATGACCCAACTCAGCTTGCTCATGCTGGAGGTGCGGTGCCTCGCTTCATTCCGGGGGTTTCATTTGCCCCCAGTTTCACTGCTTTGAAACTCTGCAGTTGTTGGTACAGAGCGGATCTGGGAAAGCGAGTTAAAAATTGATTGGATTGCAGAGTTGCCAGGAAAACAAATAAGGCAGAGTGTGCTCAGTGCCTCTGCAGGCTGTCCGGATTGCGCTCGGAGGGGCGGTGGGATGGAGAGGTGACTCCTCCAGGTCTGTGCAGCCCTGGGCAGCGCTGCGGCGGGCAGACGTCACTTTTTCCTTGGGCTGCTCGCAGGGCTGTCAGCTCCTGGAGGTGGAGTGGGGAACCTGAATACCTCCCTCTGTTCCTCGGCCTGCCGTTTCCTTCCTCCTCCTCCTCCTCCTCCCCGGCGCTGTGCTGCGTTGGTGCTCGCAGGGCTCCATGCTGGGACCCCGTCCTCCTGTGGCTCCGGGTGTGCCGGACCTGCACTGAAGGTCAGACGCTGGGAGGGAGCTCTGGGTGGGAATGCAGTGGCTGCTCTGCATGGAGTGCAGCCCAACGGCACCAGGCGTTACAGCAGCAACAGGCAGAGCGGGGTTTGTGGTCAGGTGTGGGAGCGGGGCAGTCCCAGCAGTGACCCAAAGGACGGAGGGTTGTAGAACGGTTCGAATTGGAAGGGACCCTTAAAGGCCATCTGCTCCCACTGCCCACAGGGAGCGGGGATGCCCGCAGCTCCAGCAGGTGCACAGAGCCCAGTCCTGCTCTGCGGGATGCTGCTGACAGCAGTGAGCAGCACAGGGCTGTGACTGATGGGTGCGTGCTGTCCCTAGGGCTGCTGGGGACCAATTATGAGGGATCAGTGACAAATGAGGCACACAGCTAGAATTACGCTGTCCTTCAGAGTACTCCATCTTCCTAATGATCTCCCAGAAGGTATCAGGTGTGTGTTTATTTATGGCTCTGTGTGTGCAGGGTGCTTTCTGCAGGCAGGCGTTCATTGGAGTGGTTGGGACTCCTCTATCTCCTAGCCCAGGTCCTTTATCTTCCTTGTTCCCATTGACTAGAATATATCAGAGCAGCAAAGAATTCAAGTGTTGGAGGAAAACAATTGGAAAATTGCTTTAGATAAAGAGGTTTCAGTGGAGGGGGGAAATAAGCCACAGTGCGGCTTTCTGTTGTGTGTGAGTTCAGGTCTGGAGACGTTGGCACTGGGAGTGGAAAGGCTTCCCTCTGCCCATGGAACTGTGGCCACTTCTGTTCTGCTCCATTAAAATTGCTGTAATTCCTATCAGTATTGGAGTTCCACAAGGATTGTAAATGTATTCTATTATAGATAGACTCATCCGTGACACCTCTTCCTTCAGAACAGTGTGGAGCATCTGATGCTGCAGTGGTGGGGATGGATGAACTCAGGTGAGGGGCAGGGAGTGAAGCCGTGGATGCTCCTGTGTGCTCCTGCATCCTGCAGGCTGAGATACGTAACTGGAGTGGCATCCAAGCAAAGCACTCCTTGCTCTGCCCCGTGAGCACCTTGCTGGCCCTTGGCAGTGCTTTGCTGTCATGTGCAGTGGTCAGAGTGGGAGCTGTGTGGTACTGAAATGATGGCAGAGCAGAAACGTTCTGTTTTTCCCATCCCTTGGGCAATTCAACACTTGGATATGTATCAGCATGTAATGCTTGAGGCAGACTTTATCCACTGAGTGTCTTAAGATCTCCACAGTGGTGAGCTGTGGTCTCTTTTCTCTCCATCGTGGGGAGTTCTGCAGTGATGTGGGGCGAAGTGTGGAAGAGAAGCAAATCTCCTTTGGGTTGTGTAGCACTCGTGGGGTCCGTCTGTGCGCATGAGCAGAGTCTGCAGCGCTCCCAGGAGTGATGTGAGGAGAGGTCCCTGCTGGCTGCCGGGCGGTGCTGCTGGGTGCCAGCCCAGGTAGAGCTGCTGCTTCGTTCCTCCCTCCAGTTGGGGTGCAGTGTCCCCAGTGCTCTGTGCGCTGTTTGACGTCTCTGTTCCGCCAGCCAGACTGCTGGGTCGGAGAGGAGTAGCTGTTGACACTGGCAGCCAGGAACATGTGAAGAGAAAGATAAACAGAGGGAAATCAGAGCCCGGATAAAGTAGATCACCAAAGATAAAGTTTAGTTAAAGATAATGAGCTGGCCTTGTTTGAAAAGACAGCTGCAGAATAACCCAGTAGCTCCATGTGCCGGGGTTAAAGTTGACCTAGAATATACGTTTCATTGCTTTTCATAAATAAATAGTCAGGGGAAGATTTGGCAAAAAGCAACATTGCCCCCCAGCCTCTTCAGAGCAGCGTTTGATGTTAACAAGTTCTCTGCATGTTTACTCTGCGCTCAGCGGAGCGGCCGCGCTGCGCTCTGCCAGGACCTGGGAGGCCCCGGGTGAAGCCGCCCCGAAACGGCAGCACAGCTCCTCGGGATTCCTCTCCCCCTCCTAAAGCTGTCACTGTAAACTTGAGGCGGAATCGCAGGCAGAAGCGTTTGGAAGTAAATAGTTCTATAAAATCTGGAGTGATATTTTTATTATGATCAGAGCCTCTTCCCGACGCGTGTTTTGCGCAGGCACTTCTCGGTGACACTGATGATGAAATGCTGTGATTTTAAATAAACCGTGGGATGGTTGTGCTGTGGATCTCTGGATGTGGTCCTTGGGAGCGGAGCGCTGCCCAGATGCACTTCTGTGGCCACTGTGTGGGTGAGGGGTTTGTGCACAGATGTGACAGATGAGACTTGTCCCGTGGTGCTGGGTGTTATCAGCAGCGAGGCTGTATGGTGAGCTGCGGGCAGACTGATAAATGAGGTAACTGTGCTAAATGGGCCCAGATCTTATTCATCATCGCAGGGTGGAGGGCGGCACAGAACGCAGTGAGTGGCAGCTGTGGGGCTTGGGGCTGTTTGGGAGAAGAGCATTCCATGACAGCGCCGCGTTGGAGATCTGTGCTGCATGGGAAGGGAGGTCTGCAGTCCTCGCCCACAGGGCAGCGCTGTGCTGGCACGGCTGCTGGGGGTCACCGTGCTGGGCCGTCCCAGAACGTGGGGCTGTGGCTGAGCAATGCAGGCAGCGCCGGGATCCGGAGGACTTCTCCGACCCGAGCGCACCGGGGTCTGCTGGTGATGCTGCCCTGATGGGCTGCGGGGCAGCGCTTCCCATCAGCGGCTGCAGGGCTGTGAGCTGCTGCTGTGGGACGTGGATCCTCGTGCCTTGTTAAACAAGTGGAGCTGCTGATGGATGGCCAAACGATTATTGTTTGCAAACAATATTATCTGCAATAGATAAGCTGTTTATTTTGGACTTCAGTTCCTCTGGTTGGCAAGTAGTCTCATTCATCAAGGCGGTGCGGCTCGGTGCGTGCGCTGCGTATCCCAGCTGTGGAAAAATCTTATATTAAGAATTGGACTTGGAAACATAGTTAAGCTCAACTTGTAACTCATTTTTGCAGATGGTTTCTATATTGCGGAGAGTTTGGGCAGTTTCCTGGTTGCGCCATGTTTTTTTTTCATCCCCAAACACTTTGTTGTAGGGGAGCTGAAAGAAGAACTCCTGAACCTTCCCGTAGACATCTGTGTGTTTGCTTTGCAGCTGTGGTGGTGCCTGCTGTCCGGGCGCTATGCATTCGGCCCCTGCCTGCCTGCATGCACTGCTCGCCGCCGCGCTCATCGCCGCCAGCAGCTCAGGTAAGGACCTGTTGGTGAGGCTGAGCCCCAAGCTTTGCTCTCTGGGGTCTCTGTGGATGAGCTGGGACTCTGATTCTCATCTCGGTTCCCGTGGGGTTGGGAGGGGTTTGCAGCTTGCGAAGGGAAAGGGGAGTGGGATCTCTGAGCTGCGAACGTCGATGCAAGGCAGTGGTTGGAACGTCTCTGGCGTGTAGAAAAAAGCAGAGGGATGGTTTTAATTGACACATCTGCTCTGTGTAGTCAGCTTGTCTTAATGTAACCACACAAAAAAGAAGCTTTTACTACTTTTAGCACTTCATAGGCAGTCGTTATAAGCAAATGGGATAAATTTTGTTTTTCAAGCCGTCGTGGGAGATGAGTTCCATCTGCGGGGCCGGCGCTGCCCGCTGTGAGCGCGGTGTGGGCACTGCAGGACGGGGCAGTGCAGCCATCACTGCTGGCCCTGAGCTCCAAACCCCGCTATCAGGAAAAGCAGCTTTGTAATTAAAGGCTAAAATCGTACATCTGCAGTCCTGAGAAGTGCTTGGATACCGTTTTTATGGATTTCATGTAGTTGTGTTTTGTTGTTTTTTTTTTAAGTGAAGCCACGCTTTAATTTCCAGTTGTGTTTTATGTTTATGCAGATAGTTGGGTTTATGGTTCTGTTAAAAATGTGCAGTTTCTCATCTGCAACTCATCTCTGTAAGCGGCCGGACGGGCTGACTTGAGAGGCAGAGTGAGCTGAGGGCCCCACCTATGAGAAAGCTGCATCCAACCTGGATTTCATTTTCCCTGCTCTCAGTCTGTCCTGTCTGGGCCTTTTCAGCTTATTTACAAACTCAGAATCATTTTCCCTTGCCGCCCTTCCCATGTGCAAATATTCCCCCCCTGTTTCTAACCAAACAGGACCTGTTGGTGTTAAGTGCCTTTTTCTCACTTAGTACGTCCAAAATCTTCAGCAAAGAATCCCACAGAAAACAAATGGAAATAATTCCCAATGTTTTGTTGGCCAGAACAGGAAAAAAATTCCTCAAACAAGCAGGAATTTTCTTCTGGCAAATCAATGGACTTTCCTCACCAAGTTTTCTGGAGCTCAGCCTTTTATTTACGAGCAGCTTTCCCTGCCTGCTCGCCTTGCTGAAGATAAGGGCTGCCCAATTCATCGCTCATCCCAATGAAGTCGTGCACTTGGTGCTCCCAGGTCCTTCGCTGCCCACGCAGCCTCGCTGAGCTCAGTGCATCGTTCTGCTCCCAGCCCCTGCAGTCCCATCTGAGCCCCTTTAAGGGCTGCATCCCGGCTGTTGCTGGATGCAGAGCAGACCTCAACATGGCCATATTCCGTTCACATCCGTTCCTCTGAATGGCATCGCGGCTGCTCGTGTGGATGCATTAACAGGCGCAGCTCACTGACGCAGGGCCGTTTGCTTCCTTTCAGACTTGACTCCCCGCTTTACTTCCGAGCCCGTCTCTGCTGTCCAGAAGCCCGGTGGCCCCGTGGTGCTGCGCTGCTCCGCTGAGCCCCCGACAGCTGGCATCTCCTGGCTGCTGGATGGAGAGCCGCTGGGCAGCAGGCTGCCAGGGGTGCAAATCCAGCACGGGTCTCTGAGCATCGCCTCCCTGAGCACGGCGACGGCTGGCCGCTATCAGTGCGTGGCCAGCAGCAGCGCGGGCGCAGTTCTGAGCAGGGCTGCGGTGGTGTCCATGGGCAGTAAGTCGGTTTGGTTTGTATTCCTCACTCCGGGCGAATGGCAGAGACCTCAGTGCGTCTGTGTGGTTTGTTTTCTTTCTGCTGCAGGGGAATCGGGCGCTGGGACCCGCTGTGGGTCTCAGTCCTTGGAGGTGTGCGTTGAATGGAGCTGGGAGGACGCGCTGTGTTTCCCATGATGTGGTGCTGGCTGTGGGTGTGGGGTGTTCCTGTGTGTCTGCTTGGGATCGCAGTGCTGTCTGAATCAAGCCTTTGTCAGGCAGGGTTTGAGTGATTTTGTGTAAGGGTATCTCATCTATGGAGCATGTCCAAAATCCCCCCGGGAGGAAAACTTCTTCTGAGTGTGAGAAGTGTTTTGGTAGAGTAGTGACCCATAGCAAGACCCTCTCAGGAGAGCTGTGGGGTGGCTGCTGTAGGAAAGCAGAGCAGCTGGGAGGTGCTGTGAGCACGAAGGGCGCAGAGGAGCAGAATTCACACTTCTGCCTTCCTTTTGAGGTTTTTGCAGCACACCTGAAGGGGCTGCTGAGGCCTTCTGCTCACTGCTTTGCTCACAGCAATGAGTGGAGGATGCCACCGTGTTCAGCGTTGATCAGTTATAACCGCAGAAAAGCACTGTAATGTTTCTTATGGGAAAGCTCCAAGCGTTGACTTCAGCTGCATGCCGTGCTGCCATCGGAGCCCACGATGAACACCAGGCCCTCTCTTCCCTTTCCCACCCTCGGTTGCTCATCACCTCCCGTAATTCCCTCCAGGTTTGGCTCACTTCGCCCCATCGCCGACACCCGTCATTGTGGCAGAGGAAGGAGGAACGGCGCTCATCAGTTGCGCAGTGCCGCAGAGCAACCCCAGAGCTCAGATCCGCTTCCGAGCGCGAGGGAAGTGGCTGCAGCCCGCAGGTGAGGAGCAGTGCCCAGCGGTGGCCGTGGGGCTTTATGGAAGGGACTCTGATGCTGCAGGTGCGCACACGCCGTTCTGGGCTCCCTGCTTCATCAAACCCTTTGTAAATTAATGTCCTGCTCGTAGCAGCGTGATTTTTTGTGATTCTAAATGTAGAGTGGGCTGGCTTGTATGACAGGTTGTTAGAAAATAGAAATGTCTTTATTTCAGATGAAGTTAAGTCAACTTTCTTCTTCCCCACTTGTTCAGATAAGTACCTAATTCTCCCGTCGGGAAACCTGCAGATCCTCAATGTGTCCATGGAGGACAGGGGGTCCTACAGGTGTGCTGCTTACAACCCCGTCACTCACGACCTCAGAATAGAACCCACCGGGAGGAAGCTCGTCGTCACACGTGAGTGCTCAGCTCCACAGAACAAACACACCTGGAGGGCATGGGCGCAGCTCGGCCAGGCGCTGGCTGCCGTGCACAGGGCTTGTGACCGCTGCCGGGTGGCTGGACCTGTGTTAAAAGCAGTGCAAGGCTTTGGGGCCATGGGTGCAATGGCAGCGTGCGGCCGAGAGGCCCCGGAGCTGATCCTGCTCTCCTTCCTTCCAGGTTCCTCCGCCGCACAGCCCCGCATTCTGCACCCCCGGCAGCCGCAGGCGCTGGCCGTGCCGCAGCGCAGCCCGCTGACCCTGGAGTGCGTGGCTGCAGGGCTGCCTGCAGCTGCCGTGCGATGGCAGAGGGACGGCCGGGACGCGCTGCGCGGGGGCAGGTGGGCCCTGCAGCACTCCCACCTGGTGACGGAGGGGCTGCAGCCCGAGGACTCCGGGAACTACTCGTGCGTGGTGGGGAACGGGCTGGGGGAGGTGACGTACGTCAACTACTCGCTCACCGTGCTCGGTAAGAAATGAAGCCTCTCTCACGGCCTCTGTTTCTGGCGTCCGATGACAAGTTGGATATTAAAACAGGCGCGTCCGTATCTCATCTCTCCCCGGTTAAAATTCACGTTGGTCTCTTTTCAAATGCTCTGCAGCCAGAAGCAGTTTAACAACCTAAGAAGACAAACCACAGCACGCTGCTGTGCTCATTCTGCAGTGCTAAATGTGGGTACGTGTGCAGCTGATGACGCTGCAGAGCTGGTGCTGTTTGGGGGCAGCACGAGAACAGGGAGCTGACAGGGGGAGGTGCTGTGTTTGGATGAGGGCAAAAGCAAAAGGAATTCCTTTGGCCACCTCTGTGTCCACGTGCGGTTCCCCATCTCTCCTTTCCTTTGCAGTCATTTTCCCCTCTGAGGTTTTGGTCTCCGTTGCTGTTTTTGTTTGGTTTTCAGTGCGTACCTCAAAGGAACTTGGAAAATGGGCTGCTGACATAATGTGCACCTTTTGTTACGGGGACGTTGCCAAAGAATTATTTTGAAAGCACAAATGTTTTATTAACAGTATTACTGCAAACATGATTGGTTGGAATAGAAGGAAAGGACCATTAAATTAAGCAAGTCACGGGGAACAGCAGCCCTGTGGTGCGCAGAACCAGCACCGCACGATCCCTTCTGAGCCTTTGTATGGGATAGGTTTAACATTTCACATTTCCAGAGCTATTTTTCAGGATTTAGGCTCAGATACGTGCAGTGCTCCACACAGAACTATTTCTCTTTTCAGAACCTGTCTCGATTTCCAAAGGACTGCAAGATGAGACTGTGGCCGTCGGCACAACGGTGTCTTTGCGGTGTGCTGCCCACGGGAGCCCCGCTCCAGCCCTCACCTGGCTGCACAATGCTGCACCCCTCCGTGCTTCCCCGCGGCATTTCCTGCAGGGGAGCAGCCTGCAGATCCGTGGTGTCACCGTGCAGGACTCCGGTGTGTACCAGTGCGTCGCAGATAACGGCGTTGGCTTTGCGCAGTCGGCCGGGAGGCTTCACGTGCAGGCAGGTAGGAGCACTGCAGGCCTCCAGGAAAGCAAATTAAGCGTCTGTAAGGACTGTGGAATCACTGAGATTGAAAGAGAGCTCCTGGGTGCCCAGTCCAACCCACCGTGCCCGCTGGCTGTGCCCTCGGTACCGCATGGCTGCCTGGAGCACATCAGGATGGTGACTTGAAGCTTCGTTCTGCTGTGTTTTCTCCTCGCTGATTTTTGTCTCTGCTGCTTCCGGCCACCGCCTGCAGCTCACGGTGCAGATAAGTGCTGTCAGGTGCATGGTAGGAGCTGCAGGTGTTTCTGAGGTGTTGTGGTTGCTCCGCATTTGAAACTGCAGATTGCCAGCTGCAATTAAACCAGTTTGTGGTTAAATTCGGCACAGTTTATGCTGAAATGGAATCAGGGTACTGGATGAACTGGTATTCTGAACAGTGTGGGCTGCTGAGTAATTAAGCCTTTTTCATACCCTTAAGTTAGCAGAACGATTTTCAGTTCTGGAGGTGATGCTCACGTACTGCAGGCGTGGTGCAAGGCACTGTCTCAGATGGAGAGGCTTTGCTTTCTGCCCTGGGGGGCTGAGCCGGGCGGTTCTGCACGTATTGCAATTATGGCCTTAATGCACAGGGAAGGCGGAGTGGTTTGTGTGCTTCCATCAGCTCTAGGGTCACAGAATCGTGGAGGCTGAGATTTCCAACCCCACCCCCCGTGCCCACTGCCCACATCCCTCAGTGCCACATCCCCACAGCTCTGGGACGCCCAAGGATGGTGACTGCCCCCCTCCCTGGGCAGCTGTGCAGTGCAGCGCTGCTCTTTGGAGGAGAGATTGTTCCTCATTTCCAACCTGAATGTGACACGGCTTCATTTTCCAGCTCTTACAGCATCTGGTCTCTGGATGTTTAGCTGAGTGCCAGTGGGATTTAGGACTCATGGATTTCGAGCTTCATTATACAAATTGACTCATCTGTACGATTTGCAAAGATGCTGAAAGGTTCTCTTGGAGGAAGGGGAGGGGAAAAAAATGGAATGAATGTGATCCCATCAAGTGGTTCATTTGTGAGTTTTTGTTGGACGTTGCTGAATGGAAGCAAAGCTCAATGTCATCCCAGAGTTCAGTCTGTATCAAACAGAAACCCAACTGCTTTGCCTCAGAGTTTTATGGCTGCGAGTTCAAGTTTAATGTTTTGTTTATTCACTTTTATCGGTTTCTAATATGCTGTACTCGCTGCTGATTGTGGTGCGGCGTGGTTACAGCATTTGGTTTGCATATAAAAGTCCTTAAGTACTTTCTGGGAGCCGTTGGGGTTTCCAAGCAGCCCCCATCCGTGTCAGAACCACGCTCAGCCCGTCAGATGAGTGGCAGCAGTTTGTGCCAGGTGCTCATTGGGTGCTGCAGGCTGTGATTTCAGTGCACTGCATTGGAGTAGGATGAACCTCAGCTCTGCCCCAGCGGTTCTTCTGCGCTCCAGCACACAGTGAGAGCGTTTGGCTGAAAAATGTATTTATTTTTTTCCTTTCTGCTGGAGCTGTTCCATGACCTGGTTCATTGCATGGGCTTCAAAGCTGACACGGCAGCTCAAGCCACCACCATAGTGAGAAACCACCGCAATGTAAAATGATAGCCTTGGGGTCCTGTGTCTGTAGCACTTCAAGTCTCTTTTAGACTCTTGCGGTGGTTGCATGGCAGAATCTTCCCATAGCTACAGAACAGCTTCTGTCCAATGGAATTGAAGCAGGAAAATGTGCTGCAGGAGGTGTGAGGGGTGGGCAGGTTGGTGTAAAGCATGAGAAGGAGCAGATCTGTTGGAGGTGGACAGCTGGCACAACGCACCCTGCAGAGGTTTCCCAGCCTTTGCACAGGCAGAGCTGTCAGAGAACCCTTAGGGTCTTTGGGAAGGGGAGAAGCGCCGGGGAATGCAATCTGTTTGCACTGATGGCAAAGCACAAAGGTTGCTCTGCTGCCGTGCAAACAGAGGGGATGCCAGCAGGTCAGGAACTGCTGGTGCCTCAGTGCAAAGAGGGGCGGAGCGCTCAGCGTGGAGATGAACAGGCGTAAAGCTTCCCCAGGCGCTGCTTCTGGCTGCTGCTGGAGGTGGGTTTGGGGCACTTCAGCTCTCGGTCTGACCCAGGGGGGTCACACTGGCAGGGCTGCGGGACAGGGGAGGAGGAGCAGGCGCTCGGGGCAGCGCAGCCAGCAGGCTGTGCGTGGGTGAGCATGGGCAGCCACAGCAGGAGCTGAGCAGCCGGAGCTGGGCTTGGAGTTGCCTCATGGAAACTGTTACCCGGGATTGTTTTTCTGAAAGCAAAACACAACTGACTTGCCAGTGGGTGATGAGTCCCCTCCCGGAGCAATAAACACAGCGATGACTGCAGGTCTGCTGTCACCAGCCGTAACCGCAGCGCTCCGCAGGCCAGCAGGCACCAACCCATGTGTGCCACCCACAGACCCGCGTCCATCACAGTGCGCCGTCCCTCCGGCTCCCGGAGCCGCGACAGCATTTGTTTCCAATATCCCGTGTGGCAATGCATCACTTTCTCCCGCCGCACTGACAGCAGCACAGACCCTTTCCCTCCCGGGCTGCGGTGGCTCTCAGCCGTGCCCGCCTTCGGGTTCCTCTCCTTGGGCCGAGCCCTTCTGCCTCTGAGCTGTGACGCCTTCCCAAACAAATAGGAAGGAACAAATGCTTGCGGAGTGTCTTCATTTTGAAAGGAGAGCTTTCCTTCCCTTCCCAGCTTTTTAAAAAGTGGCCAAAAATAGCAGCCACACTTGCTGCTGGTATTTTAATGGAGGTTTGGAGGAATCCGAGTCAGCCGGCCCAGCGCTGCCTGGGCTGTGCGTTACCGAGGAATTTGTTTGTTTTGTAAACCAAGTTCCCTTCATTCCCTTCCCCTTGCAGACCCCGCACGTAACATAAACCTCCCCGGCTCCGCGGGCGGGACGCAGCCCGGCACATCTGGGCTGCAGTGCTGCTCCCAGCCATCCTTCTCACCGCGCTGACGTTTTCTTGTCCTGCTCAGTGTCAGACGTCCAACCTGCCGCCCCTTCCCCGCCCGGCCCTGCGGAGCCCTGCACCAGAACTGTGCTTTTTTGTCCCGCACTCCGATGCGTTGTATTTTCAGCAGGCAATGGGCTGCAGGGCCGGGCTCTCGGGGCGCACCGGCACTGCGTTGTGCGCTGGGTCACTCTGTAAGGTGAGGTTGTTCTCAGCACACGTTTTCAGATATGTAGTCGAGTTGTGCAGCTTTCAAAGCTGATTGAAATTACCGTGAAAACCTCAGAAACGGAGGTAGGAGAATGTCCTCTTGTGCACACGCCAGTCCGGGGCATGAAACGTTCCTTGTACAACTGCAATTAATGTAAAATTACTCCGTTTGTGTCACAAGTGGGGCTGTATGTCTTTGCTGTTAATATACAGTGCTGCTGCTCCCTGTCTGGAGGTGGCAGCCAGGCTGTGCCCACGGATGGTGCCTGCTGGCTGTTTGGTCTTTGGCCAAGGGGAAAGTGAAGAGGGGAAAGCAGGGCTGAGTGCAGCAGGTCTGCATGGGGACCCCTCGGCTGTGCTTTGCTCTGCCTTCATTGAGCACCAGCAGGTCTGTGATTTCATACAGTCGGAGCATGGTTTGAGTCAGAAGGGAGCACTGAAGGCCCTTGGCAGCATCCACAGCTCCAACAGCATGCCCTCCATGTGGGACGAGCGTGTGTTGCCCGGAGATGTAACCAGGCTCCTTGCTTTGCATTCCCTGTAGGAGTCGGCCCGAAAGCAGAAGAAATGGCTCTCACAGAGACTGCCCAGAGTGATGAAAGCCGCAGAGATTCCGATGTGGAAGCGGCGTTTCCCAGCTCAGCTCCACCAAAGCTGCCTTTGGACACGGCTGCAACAGACAAACCGTGGGGCAGCATCTCCCCCCCCGAGGCGCCCATCATCCTCAGCCCCCCGCAGACGCTCAGCCCAGATGTCTACACCTTGCTGTGGCGGTCGGGGCGGGACGGCGGCCTGCCCATCAATGCCTACTTTGTGAAGTACCGCAAGGTAACGGCCCCTCGGCGGTCTGCTCCCGGATGGCTGCGCCAGGCGGCGCGCTGCTCATCTGGATCTGTGTGGGACTGATCCCCGGTTTAGTTTGTTATGGTATCTTTATGGCCGTGGGGAGTTGGGCTCCAGGGCACTCAGCATCTGTGGTGCTAAAGGTGCGTTCAGGTGAGCCCACTTGATGGGGTTTGCTGTGGCTACACTGAGATCAGAAGGAAAGCTGAGCGTTAGCCTGACCTATCAAAGGGAAGGAGCAGCACGCTGCAGCCCATTTTAGACTGAATTCATCAGATGTGGAGGTGAGCTGGGACTCCTTAAGCAGGTACCTCTCATGTCCTTGAAAACAGCGTGCCTGCAGTGAGCTGTTCTGAGGGAAACGAGAGCCCAGCAATGCCGTTCTTGCAAGCAAACAGTCTCCTTTGTGGCAAAGCTGTTGGGTTATTCTTCATAAGCTTTTTAATCCTCCACATCCTGATCTTGTCTTAGCCTGGAGGGAACGCTTTGGTGTCTGACCTGTTAGCTCCTGAAAACCCGATGCCAAAGTCTGTTGAGACAGTTCCTCACCCAAAGGAGGTGATGCTCACGTGGGCGCTGACGGCTCCGATTGACCCCTCGGTGCTCTCCCTCCCCTCCTAACAGCCCTCTCCGCATGAAATGTGCTCACTGGTGCGTTTCTCAGCAGGGAGTTACTGTGTTTTTTCAGGGTGGTGCTCTCTTTGTGTCATAAATGATTTTATTTATTTCCCTCTTTGGGGGAAAAGAAAAGGAGTGCAATAACAGCACTGGAAGAGAGATCTCTTCAGAGGGGAGTGCTGGAACAGAGACCTCTGGCATAACCCTTGATAATCCGTGGCGTTTAGACCTGCCCTCCATGTTATATTAAAGTCTTATATTGTTTGGTAGTTTATTTTTGGTAGACTCTGTCTTTTCCTTCAGGATTTGGGGTAATGTTTTTCTGCAGAGGTCGAGCGTTAAGGTCTGCCCTCAATCTGCTTCAGCAGAGCTGCTGAACTCACTGCTAAAGCGTTGGGTGGGATTCTTTCCTCCTTAGAAAAAAGCAAATCTTTGGTCTCCCTGATGTTTTTTTTCCAGTCTCCACCAGGACTGAGACGTACTTTTGTTGCCCATTTCAGCCTTTAATAGATATTTAAAAGTGCTTAAGTGCAGGAAAAGCTGGGATGGGTCAGGGAGCACATCCTTCTCGTTAGGGTGTTGGGTCCAGCCTGGAACAACACACATTAGCTCACGGCTGAGTGATGTATTGAAGTCAGTTGGGCTCTTGGCGTTTTAGGTGTGAGAGAAAATGGTTGGTTTTTCAAAAGTGAGTGCATTTGTGGGGTGGGATGGCAAGGGAGGTTCGGCAAAGGAGCGCTGAGCAGGCAGCTGCAGAGGTGCTGGTTTGAGGGCAAAGCGTTTGGAGATGGCAGCACCCCACAAATGTACCATGGTGAGGCAGAGGAGAAGGCGAGGGGTCCTGGCAGGTTGGAGGGGTCTGTGTGCTGGGCGGCCGTGGATTCGAGCACTGCACTGGGATCTGTTGGCCGGTGCTGAGCTCTGTTTCTGTCCCGCACAGCTGGATGACGCTGTGAGCACAGCTGGCGGGTGGCACACCGTGCGCGTCCCGGGCAGCGAGAATGAGCTGCGGCTCAGCGAGTTGGAGCCCTCCAGCCTCTACGAAGTGCTGATGGTGGCCAGGAGCGCTGCCGGCGAAGGCCAGCCTGCCATGCTGACATTCCGCACCAGCAAAGGTACAGAATCACGGTCATTCAGGCTGGAAAGACCACTGAGATCCCCCACCCCACTGCACCCACATCTGGGACACCACGGCCCCTGCTCCCTGCACAGCTGTCTTTCCCGTGTCCTTGGCTTTGAGAGGACACGTTTCCATGTTGTCTGCTGGGCTGTGCATGAAATGCTCCCCAATGCAGCTGCTGCAGAGCAGCCTCCAATAGGTAAACAGCTGGGCAGCAAACATTGCCGAGCGTTACCAGCTCTGTGGATACCTTTCTTTTAGCTGCAGGCTGCTGGCTGTATGCTGGAGCATACAAACAATCTGATGTTTTTCAGATTTCCGTACAGGATTTAGGTAAAAATGTTCTGTTTTCCCACAATTCACAATCCGTATGGACACAGCCCAGCATCACTGGTTTTGTTACTGAACTTCCTATCCAACCTCTACTATGATGGGCTGTCTGTCTTGTGTTCCTTAGAAAGAACGTCATCCTCAAAAAACACGCAGGCTCCGTCCCCGCCGGCGGGCGTCCCAAAGCACCCCGTTGTCCACGAAGGGACCAACAGTTTTGGAGTGGTGCTCCCCGACGCATCTCGGCACAGCGGAGGTGGGTCTGTGGCTGTTTGTCACTCCCTGTTTGGCACAAAGCGGTGCACCCACGTTGACTCGTGTGCTTTTTGCTGCTCCGGCTGCTCGGATTGCCTCCTTTATTTCTGTTTATTCATGGAGCCTCCTGGACGTGAGTTTCCCATGGAACTTCTCTGGGTGAGGCCAAAGCAGCACCCTCACACTGCTGGGTTTTCTGCTCCTGTGCTGCACTCCCCGTAGCAATGCTGGCTGTGCTGTGAGCAGTGCAGCTCCTGCGTGGCTCAGGGCAGCGCAGAGCAGTGTGTTCTGTACAGCTTCTGTGGGGAGAGGTGTTGGAGCTGGGAGTGTAACAGATGCACATCCTAACCCAGCAGGCAGGTAGCATTTCAAAGGGTGCTGTCACCTGCGTGCTTGGCTCTCAGAAATGATAAGTCTTCCATCCGTCACCCACATTCCTGCTGAATATCAGAGTCCCTTTTCACATCAGAGGAGCTGAGGGCACTCTGTGTGCCCTGCTGTGTGCCAGCTCTGCTGCTGTGGCTGCTCCAGGCTGTGTCCATGGGGGGGGTTAGCAGTGCCATGCAGCTCTCAGTGCTCACAACGGCTGTTGCAGATTCACTAACGCAGCTCTTCCTGTTCTCTCTGTCCCAATGCTGTCTGTAACTTCCAGTGAGCTCCGTAAGTACATCGTTTGCTGCATGCTTCCTTTGCTCTTTGCTCTCATTTCTTCCAAGTGATGGTTTGGGTAGTGCAGTGCTCGTTAGTGTGGGTGGGTTGAAGTCTCACTGGGGCCTGGTGCAGTTTGAAAAGATGGTGGAGGTTTTCCCCATTCACTCAGTGTGTGTTCCCGTTTGCGTTGGAGGTGGGCTGGAGGTGAGTCGTAGCACTGCCACGTCCATTTGGATGCCACCTCACCGAGGGGGGAATTCTGTTCCTCCGTCCCTCTCCTCAAGCGTCCTTTCCAGAAGAGCAAGGGGCTCATTGGTACGGGAGGGTTTGGGATTCTCTGTGTTGATGCACAAAGTCTGATTTCATCACTGACTCGTTTAATCGGTTGCTCCAGAAGATGAAGTTCCAGCTGTGCTGGTCCTCTCGTAACCGAATTCCACCCTTCAGTTCCAGAGGCTCCCGACCGCCCCACCATCTCCACCGCGTCCGAATCCTCCGTCTACGTCACCTGGATCCCCAGAGCAAACGGGGGCTCTCCCATCACAGCCTTCAAGGTGGAGTACAGGCGGGTGGGCCGAAGCGGCGACTGGCTGATTGCAGCCGACAGCATCTCTCCTTCCAAGCTGTCCGTGGAGGTCCGCAGTTTGGAGCCAGGTACTGCAGGCTGCTCCTCTGCCTTCGGATGGCTGCTGCTGCAGGGCGGTGCGTTGGGATGGGATCTGTTACGTGAATTCAAGTTGATGTCTGGCTGTCCAAATGGGAAAGAGAAACACTCGCACCATAATTTAATGCTTCTTCATGCAAAGAGGGGGATTGTGTATTATTGCTATGTTTAACTTAATTGTCCTTCTGGTAAACACTCGGAATGCCTAAAAAACAAAAAAAAAAACAAAAAAAAAAGAGAAGAAAATGCATTAAGGAGTTGTACGTATCGCTTTGTTTTCTTCCAGCCCTAAAAGCTCAGGGAAGGAGCAGAGGGAACGAGCAGTGATTTCCTCTGAAGGCTCTTCTCAGTGCCGCTGCTTTGCGGTTGAGGGATTCCTGAGCTGATGGAGTCCATCTCTGTGTGATGGCTCCGTGTTTCTCTGGAGTGAATTTCCCCCATCGCTCCTATAAGCTGTTTATGTTTCTGGTGGCCGCATCAGTCTGTGGCAATGAGTTCTGAGGTTTTTTTTCCTAATTGGATGTTGTGCAAAAACTGCTTCCTAATCTGTTTAGTCTCTCCTTGAATCCCGTTTCTGGTGCTTGTTTTGCTACAACTTTCTTCCCCTTTTTCCCTTTTAAGGAGAGATGTATAAGTTCCGTGTGATCGCTGTGAACAACTACGGGGAGAGCCCCCGCAGCGCCGCGTCCCGCCCCTACCAGGTCGCAGGCTTCACCCACCGCTTCTCCAGCCGCCCCATCGCCGGGCCCCACATTGCTTACACTGAAGCCATCAGTGACACCCAGATCATGTTGAAGTGGACGGTGAGTGCAGGCGGCTCTGCTCTGCTCGCACTGCTCTGCCTGGCGCACCGCGTGGGAGCTGCGTGGGCATCGCAGCAGGCAGTGAGCAGAGCTGTGCCCACACAGGGCCATCAGCTGGCCTTGTCTGCTGCCGTTCCTGCTGCTTACCATCTGTGGTCTGTAGAATCATCGTAAGATGGTTGGAGGAGGCGCTAAGATCGTCACCTCCAGCCATCACCTCTTCAGCCCGTACCCATTCCCTCCCCCCAGGCTGGTCTGGCACTGCTGCTGTGCTGCTTTTAGGAGCCCATCGTCTTGCGTTGCTTCTAGCAGAGGATTCATGTTAGAGAAACGTTTGCCTTTCCCCTGGTACCTTGTCTTCTGTAAACAAGTGCTTTAAAGTCCTTACTGAAACCCACAGAAATTCTTTGCTCTTGTTTTGAAATCTAACCCCCTGGTATACTTTGGAGGATTTAACGTGTGGAGTTCCCTGTGTTAGTTTGCTCTGCTAGCTTAGTCTTAAGAGATGTTAAGGATAATAAACTTGAAATAACCCCTCGTTCCTCGGGAGGCCGCATAACTTAAAGTTATACTCAAATATTCTGAGCTGGATTGGAGCGACCTGAATTCTGGCTGAGCTAAAAGTGGTTTTAACTTCTCCCTTCCAATATGTGCTCAGATTTTCAGGCTGTTAATGGTCAAACCCCATTTGAATGTCTGGGAAATGGTGTGGGAGGGGAGGGTGCCATCGCAGCTCGGGTGCTGGGAGATGGTGATGGCTGGTGGGCTGCGGTCAGCGGGGTGAGGGGTGGGATGGGGATCTCAGTGCTCCTTTCCAGCCTTAATGGCCAAGTCCATCAAATCTTTTCTTGTCTGATGCGATGCTGCATTCTCTTTCAGTACATCACATCGAGCAACAACAACACCCCCATCCAAGGGTTTTACATCTATTACCGGCCCACGGACAGCGACAACGACAGCGACTACAAGAGGGATGTTGTGGAAGGTACTGCGCTGTGTGCATGCAGGGCAGCGCGGCGAGGTGGGGAGGGACGCCGCGTAGCCGTGTTGGCTGTGTTTATATGAAATCTAAACTGCTTTTCCCAAGCAGAGCCTTTACCATATATTTCACAGAAGCAGCTATCAGCCCCATAACTGCGCGTTCTGCCCACACATGGACTTGTTGCTTCCTTCTGAGCCCTCGCTCACACTGAAACTCGAGAACTAAACAGTGGTTGTGAGGCTGTGCTGTTGCACCTCTGTGTGCAGGGCTGCCCTGCTGTGGTTTGTGATGGGCAGCGCTGCCTGGAGCTGTGCTGTGGCTGCAGGTACAGCAGTGCTTCGTTCTGCCTTCTAATCAGCTCTGTTTTCTCAGCGCACATTAGATCACCGTTTTCCTGGAAGAAGTTATTAGATAATGTCTATATTAGTCCAGAAGTGGAAAAGCCTTTTAAAAACATTTTACTTAATGTCCTTATTGCTTGGGCTGAGTAAACGGAGTGATCTCATTCCGCCCCAATGGTGGTAATTATTTTCTCCCCTCATTTATTTTGGTTACAAGGGGAACGAGCCTTATTTTGCGTGTTCCCCTCAGCTGGACAACACCGCACCGAGCCGTGCTGTGCGACATGAACCTTTGCACTCCATAAAGCTATTGGAGATCCACCATTTCTGCCTTACAGAAGCCCATGCGGCCTGCAGCTTCATCTGCCAACGTATCTTAGCCAGACCTTGTGCCAGAGCTGCTCTGCCCCCAGAACAGCTTCTTGGGGGGCAGAGGACAGAGAGCAATTTTCGGTTAGAGCGCAGCTGCCACGCGTGGGGAAGCTTGGTGATGTTTGTGCCACATGTCGCTCATCCTGCCCTGTTTTCCCTCTGCTGTCTCCGCATCCCTCCCTGCTACAGGCAGTGCTGCAGGCAGCACGGGGCAGTGCTGAGCTCTGCCGGCGCTCCTCTGCTCCCTGTTCAGTCTTGTTGAGGCACCCAGAGCTCTGCTCCCATCTCGGGAGCGCTGCAGGCCAAAGCAGGGCTTGCTTAGCAGAAAGTCTCATCTGCAATCACTGCTCGCTGTCTTCCAGCAGCTTTAAGCAAAGAAGTGAAGGGAGAGCAGCCCAGGAGAGCAGCCCAGTCCTGCGGGTCTCCGTGGAGGCTGGAATTAAGATGTAAATGCAGTCTGATGTCAGTTGTTTGACTGTTTTCTCTCGCTAATGGTGCACGAAGAGGACAGTTAAAGTGCCCGTGCTGATTGCAGTCTCCTAATGGTTTGGAGAAGAAACCTAAAACCTGGTGCAGCGATTAGCAGTAGGAATGTGAGGGGGGCTGTGGGAGAAGGGCTGCAGCCTGCAGGGCAGCACCGGACCTGCCTGCATCCCGTCCTCCTGCTGGCAATGCGTAAATCAGGAGGTGCTGTGACAGCTCCTTAGAAACAGTGGAAACAGTTCAAGGTGGTATTTTCCAGGAGGGATTAGGAGCGCTCAAACAGTTAATTAAACTCCCTGAAGGGAAAAAAAAAAAAAAAAAAAAAAAGAAAAAAGAAAAAAAAAGGAGTTGCTGTTTATTAAAATTTGTCACAGGCCCACGAAAGTAAAAGCGGGGAGTAATTTATGTGGAAGCGCTCCGTGCTGCAGGAGGTGTCCCAGGGAATGCTGGCGGGCAGCCAGGGCTGACAGAGCGTCCCATTAGCACTGCTGGAATGCAGCCCTGCAGGGCCGGCAGCGGTGCTCAGCGCTGCTTCCTGCCGCATCTGAGCTGTGCGTGGTGGGCTGTGTGCAGTTCTGTGCTGCTGGAGGAGCCCAGCTGTGCCCTTCCTGTGCACGGTGCTGCAGGGGGGGTCCTGGTGCTCTGCAGCTCACCTGCGCCGTCCCTTCCCTGTGCCCCGCGTGCTGTGAGTGCTGTGCAGCAGTCCGGATGGTGGGAGGGAGTTTTGTTCCATGAGAAATAGTTTGTAGGATGTTGTGGAGCGCTGCAGGGCGGAGCGGAGCGGCTCTGTGCTGAAGATGTGCGCAGTGCACATCTGTAAACGCGATGCTGTGAAGGTGCTGAAAGGCTGGGCTTGGGGTCCTGAGCTCAGGGACTTCCACTTGTGTGGGAAAACAAACAGAAAAACTTAAACAGAAATCCTTAAACCAAGGTACTTAAAACAAACCATTTGTTCATCAGAAGGCTTTGGCAGGATGCGTTTTGGGTCACAGTGAGCCTTAAGCTTTCAGACAGGTCTGCAGGCCCATAACAGAACCTTCTCCCCCAGCAGGGAGCCACCGCTGTATGTTCCATGCAGCCCTGCAGTGGCATGGCGTGGAACTGTTACGGCTGGGAAGGACTTGTGAGGTCCAGCCCAACCCTCGCCCCATCCCCACCGCCACCCGTGTCCCAGATAGGATCACAGAGTCACTGAGGCCAGGAAGGAGCTCTCAGAGCGCTGAGTCCCATCCCCTGCCATCCCCACCGTGCCGCTCGTGGAGCCCCGGGGTGCTGCAGGTTGGGCACAGCTGCTGCTATCACTGCTGTGCCATGGCCGTGCCCAGCTCTGAGTCATCCCAGTGAATGAAATGAAGTTGGTGTGTTCTTCCACAGGCACAAAGCAGTGGCACCTGATAAACCACCTGCAGCCAGAAACCTCATACGACATAAAAATGCAGTGCTACAACGAAGGTGGTGAAAGCGAGTACAGCAACGTGATGATCTGCGAGACGAAGGGTGAGCGGTGCTCTGCTGCCCCGGGGCCGTGGGGGGGCTGCAGTGCAAAAGTTGTCTGTAACAAAGACTGTAATTTTCTGGAATGTTCCGAGGGATTGTTTTGTCTTCCATAGCGAGGATTGTTTTTAGTGAAGCTGCTGGGCTGCGCTCCCAAGGACGGCTCTCACCCCGTGCCTGCACAGCACAGCACAGCACAGCACAGCACAGCACAGCACAGCACAGCACAGCACAGCACAGCAGTGCCTTTGGCGCAGTGCGGGGTGCAGCTCTGGGTGCAGGGAACGCATCCTTCCTCACACCCGAAGCTCGGCGATCCGCCGTGCAGCACTGCTGCCTCGGGGTGTGGGGTTCGCAGGGTGATGCTCGTTTGGTGTTCCTGCATGGAGGTCCTGCCTTTGCAACCCAGGCACCTCCTGAAGGTGTCCGTGCAGGTGGGGAATCAGCGTGGTGTGATTTCTGGGCTGCCTTGTGTTTGCTGTGATTCCTGTTCAGCTCTTTGTGTTTCAGTGTGGTTTGAGCACGGGGTCAGCAGAGTTCACACCAGATCCAGGTCGGTCGTCTGGTGCAGCAGGGGGGTAGAGATGTGTGCTGTGGTTTCTCCTGACCTCAGGAGCGGACAGATGGGTGCTCTGCAGTCAGAGCCATTGCAGTGTGCATTGAGCTGTGTGTTACAGCTCCCAGTGACCTTGGTGGGAGGGTTAGCGAGCCGGATGGCAGCCGTCTTCCAAGGCAAATAGTTATTACCCAATCGCAGCTGGCCTTCTCCTTATAGTTTCTAATACTTGGAAGGTTCCTCCTCGAGGCATTAGGATTGTAACTCCAGCAGTCATTATTTTCATTTCATAATGAAAAAATGCATTTAGAAAACTCCTTTGATGAACGTGCCCTTCCCTGTCTCCCATTGCACGCAGTGAAGCGCATGCCAGGAGTGTCTGAATACCCAGCGAAGGAGCTGAGCACCCCACCCAGCCCCCCCGAGCGGGCGGGGGGCAGCGGGGGTCCATCCTCCGGCCCGGTGCGGAGCAGTGATATGCTGTACCTGATCGTGGGCTGCGTGCTGGGCGTGATGGTCCTCATCCTGATCGTTTTCATCGCCATGTGTCTGTGGAAGAACCGCCAGCAGAACGCCATGCAGAGTGAGTTGGTTTGGGGTTTCCTTTTGTCACAGTGTCCAGCCCCATGCTGAGAGGGCAGATCCCCAACTCCTGCTCAGCCCACAGCGAAGCGGGGTTCAGTTCCTGGTCTTTCAGAGAGGTGTCAGTGGGCAGAACCCGGTGCTTTGCACCGAGCACAGTGCTGGCACATTGGAGCTCAGTGCTCGTTGCCTGCTCAGAGGTTCTGTGCTAACAGAAGTCCTCTAATGGCCTTTCCTAAGGCGGAAATCGCCCCTGTTCTTTTCCTTGCCTGTGGTTGCTTTTAAATGTCCTCACTCTCCTGACAAGAAATCACACAAACTTCTTGCAAAATAAGAGAGTGCCTTCAGCTGCAGCCCAGGAGTGCTGTCAAGTTCTGGGCAGCAGTGAGTCTGTGGTCCCTGCAGGCTGTGCTCAGGAGCTCCCTGTGTGACCGATGGCAGCACGGCGCTCCCGGTCTGTCCTGCAGGGATGGCTGTTCTCCACTCCTATGCCTGCATCCTGAGCACCGAGAAACTCAGTTAATTTACAGAAGCTGCTGAAAGAGAAAAGAGTTTCTCCTGTTTACCCCCGTTGGCAGTCTGTGTGCTCTCCGGAGCAGAACTGCGGTCCTCACGCCTGGCTCTCTTGCAGAGTACGACCCTCCTGGCTATCTGTACCAAGGGGCGGAGATCAGCGGGCAGGTGATCAAATACACAACGCTGCCCGGCACGAGCCGCGTCAACGGCAGCGTCCACAGCAGCTTCATCGGCAGCAGCGCTGGCAGCGGCTGCCCGCACCACCACAAGGCGGGCGGGGGGCTGGACGTGGCCGTGAGCCGAGCGGTCGGGCTGCACGGCGGCTCCCTGCCCGGCGCACACCTGGACTGCGAGCGCGCCCACCGCCTGCTGAACGTAAGCTGGGCCGTGGCGCGGGGGGGATTCGTGCGTCAGGGTCAGGCGGCTGCGCTGCGTGGCTCCGCAGGAGGCGGCCGGGCGGATGTTTGTGATACGAGCACCCTGGTTTTCGATTGAATATCGGATGGCAGCAAGAATTCCGCTTGCTCTGGGAAATCTGCCCCTGCCCTCCTAGCAAACAGCTCCGGGAATACTTTGTGCTGCGCCGAGGCGCTTGGCTTTACGCGTGGTATTTCTCAATCTTCGAGTTAAATAGATTTCATTACAGCTGCTTATTCTGCAGCTTTGTGGATCGCCCGTTTTCCCCCACCTGCTTCAGATCTGTGACTCTAAGCGATGCTATTAATTATAGCGAAGCACAGACGAAGCGGGAGCTTCCATAAAATAGCCCATACATCAGGAACGCGGTGACGCAATGAGTGCCTTTTTTTTAATCCCTCATTTGTGACTTTTGAGACAGACTGCCCCCTTTTTTTTTTTTTTTAATTGAAAATAAAATTAAAAACCAATTTAAATCCACGACCCAGCTTTTGTATGTTGTGGAAAAGTACTTCATTTGCTGAAATGTGTCCTGTTTCCAAGAGAGAATAATGATTTCATTATTGTCTATGGAAACAGATGGCTTGCATTCAAACTTACTAAACTTACTCAAAACTGTGAACATTGCCCAGGAAAACTGAAAGAAAAAGTTCAAAAGTCTGAGAAACAGCATGCTGGTTTGGGAGGCAGAAAGGGGGCTATTGTTTGTGTTGGTAATTGAACACAAGCGCTTCGTTTTATTGAACAACAAATTAGCGCTTGCACAGTAGCTGCCACTTGGATCACAGCAGTTTCAGGGGCAGAGATGCTGGGTCCTCACCTGGCTGTGCCACTGCTGGGCCGTTTGTGGACCCGCGTTTCTGTGCACCCTGCCAGCAGGTGAACTCCTGAGAGCCTCGGCCGCCCAAGCCCTGGGGAAGGAGTGGTTTTTGGCACTTGAAAGCCAGCCCCTAGGAAGCCTGGCGATGCTGGGGATGTCGCTGTTCTGTTGCTGCTCATCTGCTCCTTGGAGGCAGCACCTGGTGCACGTGCAGCCGCAGCTCTGCTCTGTGTCTCTGTGTTGAGATGTGGGCAGCAAACCCTGGCATGTTGTCTCATTGGAGCAGCTGAGTGTTGGATTAGTGCTGTTTTTCCCCTCTCTGTCTGCGGAGCTGAGTAAGGCAACCCCTTCCCACCCAGAACAGCAGAGCAGAGGAACAGGATGTTCTCATTCTCATTAGGACTCTCTTTATTGTTCCATTGATTGGGCTGAATGAGGAAGAGAGGGACTGGCAGGATGGCAATCAACACTAATTAGGCATTTCCTCAGCGATCCCTATCTGGCTGAGCAGCCTCCCTGAGCAGAACCCACCCTCACCATGAGCGTGAGCTCTGGGCTCTGCTTGGGGTCCGGTTGGGGTCCCCCCCTGCCGGTCCCACAGACCCCGCTGGGCTGTGCCCACCCCACTCCGTGCTCCCGCGCTGCCCGCTGCCCCTCACAATGAGGTATGTGTTAATCTGGGCATTCTGCTCGCTTGTAATGGGCCCCGCAGCCAAAACCAACAGCACCAAATCCCTCTCACCCGGAGTCATTGCTGGCGAAGGAATTACCCCATCTGTACAAATACTGAGTGTTTCAAAACTCGGTGTAGCGAAGTGCAGTGATCTAATCGGGGTAATTGCAGGAGGCTGGGATGGGTTTGTGCTGTGACATCAGCCCTGCAGATTTAGTGCCGTCTCCCCGAGCGGCGCAGCTCGCAAACGAACAGCGATTTGCTTTCATGTCTGTCATCGGCGTTAAAAATAAACATATTTACAGTGTGTTTATTAAATTAAACCTGAGCGTATGAAGCTGAAAACAGACCGGGGAAATTACAGCATACTTGTCTAGGCTGCAGTTGCTTACTTTGCTCTCCGACACGCGCTGGCAGCCCCTCGCCTTGGCTCCGTATAATGGCTCAGTGTTACGGCGCTGGGATGCGGCCCAGGGCTGGGCAGGGCAGGGCTGGGGGCTCGGGGCGCAGGGCTGGGGGCTCTGAGGCACCGCTGCCGGCTGTGCTGACCGCTGTCTCCATGCAGGGCGGGGGGCTGCACGCAGCGCTGCCCCAGGCGGAACCAGAGTGCATCAGCTGCAGGAACTGCCGCAACAACAACAGGTAGCGTGGGGGGGGTTGGCGGGGGGGGTCTGTGGGGAGGGGGTCTGCTGTGTGCCGTGGTGGGGAGCTGGGCGCTCGTTGGGCGGCGCTGTGGAGGACGTGCTGCCTTCCAGGCTTCTGAGGGGGTCTCTGGCTATTTAAGGGCTGAAAGTCCGACGTTCTGGACAGGTTGAGGGGTAAATTTGGGGTCTTGTCAGTCATACTTTGAATTTTCTCTCTTATTAAAGCTGGCATTTACCTTCCAGTGTGCGTCCAAAGGAGCTGAGCTGGAGTTCAGCTGTTCCCAAAGGCTGAAAACTTGCATGCTTCATCTTTGTGGTTTTACCTCTGAAAATAGAGCTCAAAATGGCATCGAAATGCTTCATCCTCCCGTTACAGACATGCAGGGATCGGGGTCACCCCGGGGCTGTCCCAGAGCCGCGGTGCTGTGTGCTGGGGGACGCAGTGGCACAGAGGGGGGCTGTGGTGGCCTCAGGGCGGGGAGGGGCTGCACTGAGCAGAGCTGTGACACCAATGGGGACGGAGCAGCAGCAATGGCAGTGACGGGGATGTGTGCAACCGGCTGTCGTTTGGAACGGTTGTATGTGCTACGCTGTAATTAATAGCCTGTTTTCCAGTTTTAAGCATATTTACATTGTTAATTACTCTTTTTTCTTAAGAAAAAGGAGAGAATGAGTTCCATCCCACGCGACTGTGATGTTCCTCCAGCAATGGCTGAACTTTGACTTCTCAGCCCTGCTGTGTGTGACACAAACCACAAAGTGTCCCCTCCAGCTGCAGCCCCGGAGGGATGGGGCACAGAGGGCACATGGGGGGCAGCCGGGTGGGTCTGGCTTTGCCTCGGTGTTGTTGGAGGTTGGGCATGCAGTGACCTTTTAAATCCAAGCACGCTTTAGAGCTGGTGAGCACGGACCGTGGAGGGGTTCAGTGTTACAGCGATGGAATCCTCTGCTCTTTGGTTCTTGCTCGTGGAGCTCTGCCAGAGGAGGGGGCTGCCGGGCTGTGGGCGCCCACTTTGCTGTGGTGGACAAAGCCGGGGAGATGAGCGTGATTTGTGCTGATTGCGTCGGGGTTCAAAGCAGATTTCTTTTTGTTGCGGTTCTCTGGTGCTTTTGCTCTGATGCTCCCTGGGTCCTCGATGGTTCCGAGGCGTTCTGCTCCTGTCGGTTCCCTTTGGCACGCGCTGTGTTCCATCAGAGATCTGCGCACACATCCCGAGCAGCGGCCCTTCGGGTTGGAGGGCTGTGCACGATGGCTGGTAGGATTGTAGTGCTGAGAATGGACGCAAGGCGTGTTTTCTGCAGCAGAGATTTTCCATTGCTGCTCCCTCTGGGCACGCCCATGGCCAGTTTCCGTCAGAATGTGGTTTTTAAGCTAAAAAAGCTGACCTGCTGTCTTGGAGCTCCATTCAAGCCAGTGGAGTAATACAAAGCGCTGCACTGACCTCTGTGTCTTTAAAAAGAAAGTCCCATAAACATGCAAACCAAACATCTTAAATGGGTTTCTCTAAGAATTCTTTAAATAATGAGTGAGTGTAGTCAAAACCTCTGTGGAAAGAAATGCAAACTAATAAATGGATTTGTTTGAAGCCCAGATGTGTTTCATGTGGATTCTTCAGTGGCTTTTGTGGTATTTTGGTACTTGGAATAATGATCTGGAGGCGGCTCAGGGCGGAAGGACGGAGCGGGGAGCGGGGAGGGCCGTGCAGGAGCTCCATCCCGCCCCGACGGCACTGCGGGGTCAGTGGGCACAGCAGGACGGCCGGGGGCTCTTTGCAGCCTTCGTGGCTCTGTGCTGGCTGCAGGTGGGCGCCGTCGCTTCAGCTTATGTGGGGGGAAGAAGCACTGTGGAAAGGGATCCTCCCAGCAGTCGTAGGGTAAGCATGCAGGGTCGCACACGGTGAGGGCTCGGCGCCCACGTGGGCTGTGTGGGTGCCAGCTCTGAGCGCCAGCACCTGGGCAGTGCAGTAAGCAGCCGTAAGCAGCAATATGTGCTGAGATGGAAGGGCTCATCGCTGGGAGCAGGGCAGGCGACTGTTCTATTTAGGCTTGGCAGCAAAGAAATGCTCTGAGTCGTGTCCGTTTGGCACATGGGTTTATAATCTGTGCGTGGAGTTGGGAGCCTGTTCAGCTTCCCTTCAGTGCCTGGGAGTCGTGCTGGGCTCACATGTAACACAGAGCTGTGCTCCATCCGTGGGGCAGTGCTGGGGGCAGTGCTGGGGTCAGGCAGATGGGTGCAAGAACTGCAGGCAGGTGAGAAGGGCACGGTGACGGCACTGCACTGCATGCCGGGCTCCTTGCTTCCGCGCTCCCTGCGTACCCGTCCAGGGAGCGCACTGGGGGTGCTTTCCTGGTCTATGGCAGCTATACAAGTGAACCTTTTACTTCTGTGGTAATTATGGTTTTCTATAAAACCACTGTGAAGTGTGATTTTGGGCTGTCGTGCATAGGATTTGCTTGTATAAATGTTCGCTGCGTCCACATTGTTAGTGGAGCTGCAGACACTGCAGGCATTTTCCCTGCCTGCTGCAGTGGCGTGGTGTCCGTTAAGGTCTCGAGCTGCTTTCTGAGGAAGGTTAAATACCTTGGCTATAACAGTTCATTTCGCAGTCTGACTCTGATTTCACAGCCCTGTGTGTCTCACGGGGTCACGATCTGAGCTGCACCGCGCGGGATTTTGCCTTTATAGTGCTGAATGTATTTTTGTAGTTTGCGTCCACTCTGATAACACTTCAGCATTTGTTTTCCAAGGCACTTTGGTTTGTTGCTTGGGTTTCAAACCTGAGCTCTTTCTGTTGGCGGTGAAAGGCCGCCATGTGGGGCTGCCCTGGTGGAGACCTGCAAGTCAATGGTCGGGTCACAGCGGACAGGGGAAGCAACTGAGCAAATGTTTGCAGTGTTTCCAGCTGTCTGTTGGGAGAAGAAACGCTTGATCCTTCTCTTCATGTTAGGATTGATCCAAAAATACATTCAGAACTCACTTGGCAAGATCTCTACAGTAAATAACACATGGTAAAGTACTTAAAAGTCACAGTTTCTCATGCTAAGTTGAGTGGTAGAAAGGGAAAACGTGCAGATGATCAGGGCTCGCAGCAACTCCTGGTATCCCACTCATGTTGGATATGAGGAACAATCTCTCCTCCAAAGAGCAGCGCTGCACTGCACAGCTGCCCAGGGAAAGAAAGTCACCATCCTGGGGTGTTGCAGAGCCGTGGGGATGTGGCACTGAGGGTCGTCGGCAGTGGGCACGGGGGGGTGGGTTGGACTTTGTGATCTGGGAGGTCTATTCCTACCTTAATACTCTGTGGTTGTGGCTTACCTTCTCAGGTGTTTCACCAAGGCCAACGGCACTTTCAGCAGCAGCGCGCTGCCCCTCGTGCCCATCGTCGCTCCGTACCAGCAGGACATGGAGATGAAGCCCCTGAGCCACATCATGGTCGCCATGTGTTTGGCCTCCAGCATCCCCGAGCACGGCGGGCGGGTGGAGGAGGACGGCGTGGAGGCAGCCGAGCAGCCGCCCAGCCCTCAGCCCTGCTGCAGGGGTGGCGCCAGGCCGCTCTGCCTGGAGTACGCGGACGGTGAGGCGGGGGGGGCAGCGCCTGGCGCGGGGACGCTGCAGAAATGGCACCTAATTAAACAGAGACTGGTAATTAAGCTCGCAAAGGAGCTGGCCGTTGGAAAGAGGGCTCTGTTCCATCTCCTGCAGAAAAGTGGTGCTGGAGCTGCGTGCTCCTCTCCACCGATGCCTCTACTGGGGCTCACCCTGCAGGCACACTGTGGCTGGTTGCTGCTGGCTGGCGGTGCCTGTACACACAGCAGACACAGGGGGTCCCAGTGCAGACTTAGGGGCTGAGATACTGCGTGCTCCCTGCTGCATCTGGGTGGCCTAAAGCCATGCTGCAGGGGAGGGCAGCTCAGGGATGCGGGTGGGTCTGGGCCATGTCATCCCAACCTGCTGCATAGCAGCATCCATGTGCTTGCAGAGCCGAGGCGCTGTGCTGTTGCCCAACGCTTCCTCAGGGTTTTATGGGAGTAAACCCACTCAGAAAGCTTTGCCGAGATCCCTAACCTGAATTTCCTCTGTGCTCATGAGGCCGTTGAGCTGAAAGCACGTTGCTCTTGCCTTGCAGGTGACAGCTGTGCGCTCTCAGAAACACCAAACCACGTTCTGAGCTGGAGCCCGCTGGTTCTGCAGCCTGTGCCCAAGGACTGCAGGGACAAACCGGGCTGGACTGCAACACTGCGTGGTTCTGGGCAGCCCCCGCTGCAGGAGAGCTGAGGGGAGTGCTGGAGGGACTGATGGAGGGGCCTTAATTATAACAGAGAGAGTCACTATTTATTTTTTGTAGTAGTGTCATATGAATGTATCTTGTTTCTAAATGGTTGCCTTTTTATATTATTTATGCCTTGAGATTCCTTTTTTTCCCACGCACCGTGAAACTAGCCTGGTTCTGTGTATATAAACAAAAAAAGATTGGTAATAATATAAAGAACAACGATAGGAAACTGCAGTGTGTGTTCGTGGAGCCGGCAGAGGAGCGCTGCTGAGAGGCTGATGGCGCTTTGGGCGCGGGGCTGCGCTGGGTTGGGCTGCGCGCAGACCGTGCTGGGAGTGGGCAGAAGGGGATCAGCGCTGCTCGGTGGTGCTGTGCTGTGCCCTGCCGTGCCGTGCCGTGCCGTGCCGTGCAGCAGGTGGAGGTACTGCAGCCTTGGTTGTTTGGTGGTTGTTTTTTTTTCCTTCCACATTTAATCGGAGTGAATGCAATGAAGCTGTGCTCGCAAAGCACTCTTTCCAAAAAGCAGCGCGTAGCCCCGGCTGCTGGATGCCTTCATCGCCATTGCAGCTGCCCACGGCTCCACGTGCAGCCTGGGCTGAGCAGGAAGGGGCTGGGGGGGGGTGGAGCGCTGCAGGTGCAGCTCAGAGCCCTGCCCGACCCCAAGCTCCGTTCCCCACTGAATGTGTGCTCTGTGCACAGCATGGAGGTACAAAATAATGTGTTCTGTGCTTTATAAATAGAGCCCGTGGTGAGAACGCGTTAGCTCGGAGCTGGGCTGCCAAGCAGGTAGGATTCTGGTTATGCTTTATGCCCGAAGCCTGGCAGTGATGCTGTGTACGTGGTTTCTCCCCTCTGCACACTTTAGTTCTCATGTCTGCGAGACTGAGTGCGTGCCAGAGGGAGGCAAAGTGCCAACAAGCACCACATGAGGGCAGTACCCTACCCTGGATTTGCTGCTTTGCTTTCTTGATGCCAACGCGGGATGCTGGTGTGAGCTCGGCCCGTGGAGCGGCTCTGGTGTCAGATGGAGCTGGGCCGTGGGCAGCGATGGGTGCGGGAGGCTGCGATCTGCTCTGTTAGCAGCACCTCTCTGCAGACTGCTTTATTTATAGTCAGTGACACTGTTTTAAGTGTTTGTCTTCCATTTATTGTATTTTATTTTAAAGTGTGTCTGAGCTCTGCTTTCACCGTAGGGTTTCGGTGCACGCTCCCACCTCCACGTGCCCAACTCCAAACCTCCCGCCGGTCCCACGGGAGCACTCTGCCTTCAGGCTGCGTGCACGGCCCCGCTCCTCCCTCTGCTCTGCTTTGTCCACCCAAACGCCATCCTTCCCGTGGCTTTGGCAGCGCTCCTCTCCTTCCCAGAACCAGCAGCGAGCTCTGCTGGGCTCCCGGCGCCTTGCAGCTCCCTGCTTTTCACAAGCACCGAGTTCAACAACCCTGTGTGCATCAGCCCCTTTTCTCCTCATCTTTGGGCCTTTAGAGAAAAAACAAATGGACAAACCTCTCTGTGTTCCTCCGTGTACCTCTGAACGCATCGCTGCTGCAGTGCTGCGCAGCGCTGAGCTCCAGATGTGTGCTTGTTGGCAGATGGGTAAATACACTCTATTTTCCGAAGAAGATGTAATGTTTCTTTGGAAATTGCACATGTGTTGGAATGATGTAGTTGTTGCGTGTTGGTTTTTTTGTTTTGTTTGGTGGTTTGATTAATATTAAAGTGAATGCTGCTGCTCGATGGGATGGCAGAGTGGTGATTGGTGCCGTGCGGCACTGCGCTGAGGTTGGGCGGATCGTTCATGAGGTGCAGGGCAGCGCCAGGACCCCCTGTCTTGCATAAACCCAAAGCTGAGGGCCGCCTCCTCCATGCTCTCCAGGCAGAGATCTCCCCTTCCCCAAACATCCCAGCTCCTCCTGCTCTCTGGGAGCAGTGATGCATCTCTCCCCACTGCAGAGCAGCAGAGCCGGGCCCTGGCTTGCTGGCAGTCCATGTTGGAACACTATAAAGCAGCCCAAAAGATTTTCTCTGCGGCACTTTATCTGCAGCCCAGCACCAGCAGCCACGGGTTAATGACAGTCCAGTGCCAGGAGGAGGGATGTGGGGACATTTCCTGTGGGTGAAGCACCTTTCCACATAAAGGGTAAAGGCTGAGAATTCCACAGCTTCACCCTCACCTCCCAGGATCCCCATCCCTGGGTTTGCAGCCCCTCTGCTCCCACCCCACCCAGACTGAGGCTCTGTGGAAGAAGATTCCCTCTGCGTCTGCTCTCTTGCAGCCTTTATTGAGGCAAAGGAAGCAGTGGGGTACAGCACACCGCAGGAGGATGGGGCTGTCCCAGGGGTGCTGTTGCCACATCCCAGCTCTCATCCCCCAGGAACAGCAGCAGTGAGGAGGGGTGTCTCAGGAGTGTGCCATGCTCAAGGCATGGCTGTCACCGTGATGCTGACATCTGCCGGTGCATCATCCACAGGGTCAGCTGGTGGGGCTGAGCGTGGCTCTTCTGCAATGGGATGGGATGGAGAGCCTCAGTGGCACCAGGCTGTACCACCATGCTGGTGGCTCTGCCCGCCCTCTACCTTCCATGGCTGTTGTGCTGAGGCCACCCGGCTCCTCCTGTCCCTGTCTTTCTCCGTCCTCCGTGCTCACGGCCACGTTGGCATCCTCGGCAAGCTGTGGGGCATCAGGGCCAGCCCTGGGGGCATGGGGCTCTCAGGTGAGCAATGAGATGCAGGAGAGGGCTGGGTGCGTGGCGAGGTTTGGGGCACTCACATGCGGAACAGCAGCTCGTGCAGCCCTACAGACGGACAGACGGACATCGGATGGGGGAGTTGGGGTTTTACCACCCAGCCGAGCCCCCGACACTCACGTGGCAGGCGGTCCCGATGGCGAGCAATGTAGTGCACAGCCAGCAGAGACATGGACGTGGCCACCAGCATCCCCATCACCGCTGCCCCCGTCACGGCCGGGAGCGCCTCGAAGGGCGGCTCAGCTGGAAGAGAGCGGTGCAAATCGAGCCGTTGGGAAGGGGGAGGTGAGGAGGTGAGGAGCAGCCAGGATGGTGCGGAGGTACCAGGGGAGAAGGGAGCTCGGGGAGCATGGGCATCCCTGGCACAAACGGAGGAGGAAGATAGAAGCCTGCACTTGTTTGCTCTGAAACCTACTGATGGCTGCTCGCGCTGCGGTGCAGCTCTGCCTTTCTCTACTCACTCCCTGCTTTGCCTACAGGCAGTCAGCCCCGGGGTGTTCTGTAGCCCCTGCCGATGCCTGGCACCACCCAGGGATGCCGGAGGAGCACGGCATGCTGTCCCGTGCCCGCTTCACCTGGCGTCTGCACCTCGGAGGGGTGCCCGGCCGTGCGGTGGTTGACAGCCAGGACGCGGAAGGCATAGACCACGCGGGGGTCGAGCCCCCCCAGGCGCCGGTCGCGGGAGTGCGGCTCGATGTCTCCAGCGGCCGTTTCCCAAGGGCCCGGCACGCGGCGCTGGGGCTTCTTGGCCGGCCGCCGCTGCACCACGAAGCCGGTCAGGTTGCCCGCGCCCTGCGTCCGCCACTGCAGCCGCACCTCGGTGCGCGCCCGCGTGTACCGCAGCTTGCTGATGGTGACGTTGGGAGGGGCCGGGTACCCTGCGGCGAGACGGCGCTCCGTGGGACGACTCGCCTCCCCGCGCAGCACGGGGATGCGTGCCGCTGCCCCTGGGACTCACGATCCACGCGGAGGCGGACGGGGAGGCTGGCGGTGCCCACGCTGTTGGCGGCGGCGCAGCGGTACGTGCCACCGTCCTGCGGCCACTCGGCATCGTGCACGGTGAGGTTGGCCCACGCCCCGCCGCGCTCCAGCCGGTACTTGGTGGTGCCCGCCGGCACCTCACGCTCCTGCGGGTCGTACCAGCCCATCTCGGCACCCAGCTCGGTGCCGCCGCGCTGCCGGCACGCCAGCCGTGCCTCGCCGCCCTCCAGCACCGCCACCTCGCCGCGCTCCACCTCCAGCTTGGGGACATCTGCGCATTGAGAGGGGCTGCTGGTGGCACGCCGCCGGCCGGCGTGAGACGACGATAGTGGGGACAGCACACGGGGACCACCTCGCTTACCCAGCCGGAGGCGGCACTCGGTGCTGGCGGCTCGCAGTGGGTGCGCGGCCACGCAGACGAAGTCCTGGCCCCGCAGACTGGTATCGGTGCTCAGCACCAGGACGGTGGCTGATGGTGTGGGGACGCCCAGCGCCCGGCCCCGGCCGTCCCACCAGCGCAGCGTGGCCGGCGGCGTGCCTCCCTCCCAGCGGCATCGCAGCATCACGTATTCGTCATGCTTGGTGGCCGCAGCCATGCATGTGGGGCTGCCTGCCGGGATCCCTGGGAAGGGACAGGTGGTGGGGTGAGCCATCTCCTGCCCGCCTTTGTCCCCATAAAGTACAGGGTAGCAAGGGGCAGCCAACACAGCTTCACTTTGGGGTGCTCTGCAGTGCAGCCGTAGCACGTGGATTGAAGGGCAATAAGGCCCTTCAAGGAAAGCAATTTAGGGACGTGGGAGTTTGGGGATGTGTCCACACTCACACAGAGTGGTCCTGCACACAGCCCCCTCCCGCAGCGCAGGGTGTGTGGCCACGCAGGCGAAGGAGCTGCCGTTCCTCGTGGCTGCCCCTGGCACGATGCTGGTGGCCATGGAAAAGCTGGGCCCTGCTGCCCCCTCTTCATCCTCCTCCTCCTCCTCCCTAGGGCCCACCCAGCGCAGCCGGGCTGGAGGGAATCCCCCTAGCCAGCGGCACCGCAGGGCCACATCCTGCAGGTCAGCAGTGGCCAGAGCGGAGCAGCTGGGGCTCCCAGGCGGCGGATCTGTGTGGGTGTGGAGCTGTCACCGTGGGGCCCCCCATGCCGTCACCCCAGCATCCCCATCGTGCCATCACGTACTTCCCGCCCACATCCTCACCGGGCACTGTGTTGTCACCACGCCGGGCCAGGGCCACAATACTTACAGTATACGGTGAGGACGATGGTGGCCTGGGTGCGGGTTTGGAGGTGGGTGTTCTCAGCCAGGCAGGTGTAGGTGCCCGCCTGGCCCCGGGCAATGGCCGACATGACAAAGGTCTGACCGATGTGCACCTGGGAGCCATTGTGCAGCCAGATGTAACGGCTGGGGGGGTTGGAGGGCGCCAGGCAGCTCAGCACCACATCCTCCCGCTCGCCCGCGGAGAAGCTGCCCTGCTCTGGGGAGAAGGGCTCCACGCTGATGGCTGGCTCGTCAGGGCCGTCTGCAGGGACACAGAGCCCTTTAGCCATGGGACATCACTGCTGAGGGGAAGCAGCTCTAATCAGGACATCCTCCCACTGGTGGAAACCTGACCCGTGAAGCCTCCTTGGAGGTGGTGCAGGACAGTGGCTGTGAACACGCTATGATGCGTGGTGCCCATGGATGCACCACAGGGAACGGTGGCCTTGGTGGCACAGTGCCAGCCATAGAAGTACCATGATGGTGGTGAATGATGGCCACAGATGCACCTTGGTGGCAAGGTACTTGTTTGCCATAGAGGCACTGTGATGTTGATGGATGATGGCCATTGGTGCATCTGGTCAATGTGGCACTTGGTGGCCACAGAGGCACCCACATGGCCATACCTGCATCACGGTGGTGTCTTAACCCTTGGGGCTGCCCCGGCCTGGTGAAAAATATCTCCCAACTTAGGGCCCCCTGGAAGCAGAGCCATGCTCCGGGGCACTCACAGACGATGTCGAGGTAGACGGGTTCACTGGTACGGTTGTTGACCTCATTGCGGGCCGTGCAGGCGTACCAGCCAGCGTGGCTGCGGTTGGCGGGTGCCAGGAGCAGCTCTGCCCCAGAGCCTCCCAGCCCCACAGGGGCTGCCAGGAGTCTTCCGTGGGGCTCCCGGTGCTGCCAGGAGAAGCTGAGCGGTGCTGTCCCCTCCCGCACGGTGCACGTCAGGGCCACCTCTGTCCCCTCCGCTGCTGCTGCCGCCGTCAACCGCACGAAGGGCTTGGAGACGGGTACTGAGGGTACTGGGCCATGAGTGTCCCCAAAGCCACCAGCCCCCTGCCCAGAGCCCCTGCATCCCTCCTGTCTAGTTGTGGCCTTTCCATGTCCCACATTCTGCAGCTAGCGGGCTCAATAGTGTGAATGTGTATGAGTCAACATGAGTCCACATGTTTGCTAGTGGGACACCAGGTTGGCCAAGGGAGGGAGACAGGAGGTGGCTAACGAGCTGCTATGCGGCTGGTGGGAAGGCAATGGGGTTGGCCAGTGGGTTGCTATGTTGCCGAGTGCAGAGTTGTGTTGGCTAGTGGGGCACTTCACTGCCCAGTGGGGCTCTTCATGGTCTGGCAGCAGCCAGCAGCGCGGGCTGTTGGTGAGGGGAGCCGCGCAGAGCACTGGCAGGAGGGAGACCTTACCCAGCACACGCAGCATCACGGCGGCGTATCCCACACGGAGGCGGCCCCACTCCGGGAAGAGCCCCTGGCAGAGGAAGCGCCCGGCGGCGGCCGTCCGCAGCTCCCGCAGCTCCAGAGTGCCGTTGCGCAGCGTGACCCGGCCCAGCGCGCCCGCGCCAGGAGCCACCACCACCTCCGGCCCTGAGCCCACCGCCACGGCCCGCGGCGGCCCCGCGCTCCCCATCGCCGTGAAGCTCCAGAAGACCACGGCCGGCGCTGCCATCCCGCAGCTCAGCTCCACCTCCCGGCCCCGTATCCCCGTCGCCGTCCGCTCCTCATAGGCTGCAGAGCCGGCGTCCAGCGGCTGACCTGGTGAGAGGTGCGCTGCGTTGGCCGTGTCTCGGCAGTGCGGCTCCGTGCCTCCGTGCCGTGAGGGACCCCCGGCACTCACCCACCGCCATCAGCGGCAGCAGGCAGAGCAGCCAGGGGCCCCCCCAGCGCTCCATGCTGGGAGCCCCCCGTGCTGCGCTGCGCTCCCCAACCCGACCTCCTCTCGGGTTTCCCCGGATTGGCCCTGATTAATCTTTAATTATTAATGAAATGACAGCAGAAACCCAACACCGCTGCAATCTGGCTGTCCCCATGCCAGGCACGAGGATGGGTGCACTCACGGCACGAGCGGTGCCGCTGCCACCTGTCCCACCTCCAGGATGTCCCCACTGGTGGCCAACCTCTCCCTCTTCCCGTTTTTCTCGCTACAAGAGGTAAATCCAGTCCCGACCCCACTTTGTACCAATAACGGTGGATTTGAACACGCAGCAGACGCGTGGCACTGAGCGGGGTTTGATATTTCATCTCCTGCTCTCTGCAGGCCATGAAACATTGATGGCGGCACAGGAAGGCAGCGCCGGGAGGGGACGGGGCTGCCCTGCAGGGGGTTCTGCAGTGTGTGATGGGCTGCATCCCACTGCACCCATGGGGCAGCCGCAATGCCCCTCAAAAAAGGAGGTTCACCCCCCAGTTTTCCTCTCACAATCAGTTATTACTCATCTCTCCCGAATTCACCCTCAGCCTTTGCTTGTTGAGGTCTGGCACTTTTCCTGGTGCCACTTCTGCAGCACTGCCCTGGATGAGGGTTCGTGGTGGGGCGGTGTGAGTGGGACAGCCCCCTTGGGGACAGCCGCCACGCACGGGGCCCTGCTTTGTACCGCTGCCCTTTGTGCTACAGAAGAGCTCTGTGCTTTCAGACACCTTTTGGCAGCCCTGAACAGCTGATTTAAGAGAGCACCCGCACACCAGACCCGAACCCCCCCCTGCCCCGCTGGGTATCGCCGTGGGAACGGGGCCGGACGGGGGAGGGGCTGAGGGCGCGTCCGGCGGCTGCGTGCAAAGCGAAGGCCGACAGCGCCCCCTGGCGGCGGGGCGGGATGTGGGCCGTGTGCGCCCGTGGGCTGAAATGGGGAAATAAAACCCTTTCTGGGACAGAGCCGCCCCCGTGTCCCCGCGGCACCAAAGGGAGAACTGCCTGCACGAGGAAACACCACAAGGGAGGATGGGATTTGAACAGCGGCTTTAAAGACGGGTTCATGAATATTCAACACTTCGTGAATATTCATGACGGGCGCGCGGCGAGGCAGCCACTTCCGGGGCAGCGGCACCGGCACCGGAAGTGGCGGCGGTGGCTCAGGTAGGGGCGGGGGCGGTTCGGGCCTTCGGGGCTTCGGGTCGGCGCTTCCGATCCCAGCCGGAGCTGAAGTCGCCGCACGGCGGTGTCAATGCGCGCCGCGACGGTCAGAAACGGGGTGAAAAAGCGGCGCTCGGAGCGCGGCGGGGCGGCGGTTCCGGAGGACTCCGCGCCACGTGGGTTCCATTTAACCGCACGACTCCGATGCGCCTTGTTGCACGCTTTATTGAAGTACGTGGCCGAGTTGCCTGACATCACACAGCTCGCGCAGCCCCCCGTCCGGGGGAGCAGAAGCATTTCAACGTAAAAATCACAGCTCTCGCTTCGTTATGGAGTTTGAGTGGCTTTTCCCTGTCTGCTTCCTCGGCTTTCCAGCAGCGACTCAGAGTGAAGCTTTCTAACAGTGTAGTAGCGAAGTAAGGATGTCCGAAATGCAGTAACCTGGGGAGCTGGGTGAAGTTTTACACTGCAGCCAACACGCTTATATAAACAGAAAGATTTCCAGAGTAGCTGAGTCCTGGATGGGAGAGGAGAGCATCCAGGGTGACGTCAGAGCGGGGCGTTTTTCCTGGGGATGAGGCCGTTCGCCAGGTCCCAGCGCACCTCCCAGCGCAGGGCTGCCCTCTTCTTGTCCGTGGGCACCGTGTAGGTGTTGGGGACATAGGTGTGCTGCGGTTTGCTGGGGTGGCTGTGCTGTGTGAGCATCCGCCCCCGAATGCTGCGGCGCACGTCCTTGTGCTGGTCCTCACCCGGCACAGGGAACCGCTCCCACTCCCGCTTGTACTCAAAATATTTGGCCACCCGGTCGCTTTTGCTGCGGTTCTGACGCAGCGCCTCCAGCCTGGGGGGAATGAAGGACTTGGGCTGCAGCGCTGCGGCTGTGCAGTGAGAGGCGGGAGGACTCTGGCTCTGCACAACCCTGAGAAGGAAGGGAGGCTCACACTCGGCGCCCTGATGCTGATAGGAAGGCTCTGGGGGGAACTCCTGGATAAAACTGCTGCTCATCTCGATTTCCCCCTCGGAGAGGCTGTCATCTGGAGCGGTGCTCAGCTGAAGCATTTTCTGTGTCAGATTCCACGTGGCCATGCTCTCCAGCAGGCTGGTGACCGATTCGTCACAGACCTGGACTCCTCCATCAGGTCTCCGCCTCAGCACCTTCCTCTTCATCGCCTGCCTCCTCGAGCCCCTGGGGCAGCACGGGGCAGCACTGGGCTCTGCGCAGGGGAACCCTTTGGATGGAGGTGGGGCTGGCTGCAGCCCTGTGGGAGCAGTGTAGGCACTGCAGCACAGAGGTGCCCCTTCTGCTCCGCGGCTCTCGCTGCCTCCTTCCAGCTCCTCATCACTCAGAGCAGCACCTGAATGCCTGTCTGCTTCCAGCCTGTTCTCCATGGTTTCTGCTGGGCTGGCTGGACCCTGCAAAAAGAAATTTGGTTAATATCTTGCAGTGCATTCGAGTTGGCTGAAGGGGGCTCTGTGAAGGCTGGCTCTGGCTCTTCGCCACCCTGAAACCTTCTCAGGTTTGTGGTGCTGATTCAGGCTCCATCAAACCAGAGAGGAGCCTGTAGACAACTATGTACAATGTTGTACATGGCACATAAATTGCATTGCACTGCATGTGAAGGTTCGATGAAAGGATGGACGAGTGCAGGCCGGACTGAGTACACTCCGTGACTGTAAGCCTTGGGCAGATATACTGATGATTTTCCCCTTGTGAAACCAGTATGTTCTCTCAAAAACACAGTTCCTAGTTGTGACTAAAGACATCAAAGAAAGGGTGTTTTTATTTATAGACAAGGAAAAAGTGTTTAGAGATTGGCTATCATAGCCTAAAGGCAAAGCTTCAGGCTGAGTTGTGTGATTGAGGTAAGGCAGAAGGATTGGCTGCAAAAGGGATGTGGACAGTGTTCCCACTGAAGCCTGCAGGTTTGGGGCTATCTTTATGCCATTAAACGGGTTTAGAAATGCAAGTTCTAACTGTGTGGCAGTGATGCCATTACGAAACGTTCGAGCAGATGGTGCTGCAGGATGACTGGTAGCTGTTAGCAGGCTGTCTGAAGTGTTGATGCTCGCTGAACACAGCGAGAATGGGAACCGCTCCATGACAGCTCTGCACAGGAAATGTGGGAATGAGCTGCCGCCGTGCTGGGCTGCCAGCGCTGAGCTGCTGACAGCGGTGGCTGAGGGAAGATGTGTGATTCAAAGCACTAGATATTTGCAGCCTGGAGTCAAAGTGTATCATCCCAGCCAAGCCCCCTTGACAGTTACTGGGTGCTTCTGGGTACAGTGAGGGATTAAAAAGAAGCCAAAGAATTATTGTACAGATAACAATTCTGCAGAGGCAGAAAAAGGTAGAAACACAGATTTCCTCCTTTCTTTGCAGGCCCTGAGGAGCTGCCAGCCACCAACTAAAGACTCCAAGAGACTCAGTATGGCCAACGGGAGCTGGGCCACAGATCGAGAACAGCTCCTGAGGAGGGTGCAGGACCTGGAGGAGGAGGTGAAGCAGCTGCAGGAGAAGCTGTCGGAGGGCAAGGAGGGCACTGCAGTGAAGGACACCCCTTCAACCTCCAGGAAATCCAAGAAGCAGCAGCAGCGGCCATTTGATTTCAGTGCCCACGGCCGCAGGCACGTGGCTCTGAGGATCGCCTACCTCGGCTGGGGGTACCAAGGCTTTGCCAGCCAGGAGAACACCAGCAACACGATTGAAGAGAAGCTGTTTGAAGCCCTGAAGAAGACACGGCTGGTAGATAGCAGGCAGACCTCCAACTATCACCGCTGTGGGCGGACAGACAAAGGAGTCAGTGCCTTTGGACAGGTCAGGATGGGTTTACGGGTTCCACTGGGGGTGGTAGAACTCAGGATGCAGATCTCGTGGGGTTACTGGTCAATGACAACGAGCCAAGTGCTCACTGTGTGACAGTGCAGGTTGAATCTGTCTTTTAAAAGCTTTTTCAGACACTGTTTACTGGAGCTGTTTGGAGAGGATGAAATGCATTTCAGGCTGCCATTTCCTGAGTCGGGTCAGCTGCCAGTTCAGCTCAGAGATGCCAGAAAGGGGAGCTGCCCCTTCCTCTGCCTATATAGACATTGCTCTTCTTGTGCCAGCTGCAGTGCTTGGCAGACCCCTCTCATCTGCCTTAACTCAGCAGCCCAGCAGAATGACTGGAATGCTTCCCACAGAGTGAGAAAGCTGAGTCCTTGTGTGTAAAGGTCTGAGGAGAGCAACAGCCAGGGAAGAGAGCGTGGGAGTGGGAGCTGGAGGAGCAGCTGGCCCAAACAGTGGCAGGGAACCATCAGATCCTTACGATGGCTTTGCTTTCCTCCTCTTCCCTTCCCGCTTGTGCTCAGGGAGCAGGCCTGCCCAGCTTTTGCCATGTGAGGGCTGGTTTTAGCCTGCATCACTCACTTGCTCTAGTTCACGAAGCAAACCGTACAAAGTAAGGGTGTGGGCCACCTTTGCTTGCACGGTTAGATATGCTCATGGACTTGCAGTGGTTCACTTGTTTCCATACCACAGTTTCAAGCCTATTGAGCTGTTAATGGGTTCAAGTTATGAACTCCAGGGTTTTTTTTGTGTTTTTTTTTTTTTAAAAGCACATGTGTATCCTGCAGACTGAAGCCATTTAGAGACCATGCTATGTAGGCAGTTTGCAACTTTTTCTGTTTTATTAAAGGAATCTATAGCATCTGCTAGGAAGCTCAGCAGAGGCACTTGCAGTTTTACCCACAGGAAGGAGTGGTAAGAGACCAATTTAAGATACCTTCCTCTGTAGGAGATCCTGAGTTCATTTCAAAATGCAAAGCAGAGGTGTAGGAAGACTTGGCTTTACACACTGACTACGCCCATCCACCACCTAATCCCAGTGTTCACAATTTTGCAGGTGATTTCCCTAGATCTTCGCTCTAACCTCTCGGAGGAAAGGAAACTAAATGGCTGCACGGGTGACTCGGAGGGAAGAAGCAGTAAATCCGAGGAAGAGCTGCGCTACACCCACATCCTGAACAGGGTGCTCCCACCTGACATCCGTGTGCTGGCCTGGGCCCCCGTGGAGCCAGACTTCAGCGCCCGGTTCAGCTGTCTCAAGAGGACCTACCGCTACTTCTTCCCCTGCGCAGGCCTGGACGTGGCCCTCATGCAGGCTGCAGCCCAGCGCTACGTGGGGACGCACGACTTCCGGAACCTCTGCAAAATGGACGTGGCCAATGGCGTCATCAACTTCCAGAGAACAATTCTCAGCGCCCAGGTAACGTGGGTGGATGGGGGAGCTGAAGGTGGCCTGCAGGACCCTTTCCGGCTGTGCCAGTTCGAGGTGACAGGACAGGCATTCCTCTACCACCAAGTGCGCTGCATGATGGCCATCCTCTTCCTGATTGGACAGAGGATGGAGGGCCCAGAGATCATCGATGAGCTGCTGGATGTGGAGAAGAACCCTCGAAAACCACAGTACAGGTATGGGCAGCAACCTCCCAGGCTGTACAGCAAGAAAGCAAACTGCTGGCGTCTCCACGAGGATCTGATTTTCTTGTCACTGTGCTTCTGGACAAGTTACTCATGGTCTTAACCCTTGGTCTTTGGTAAAAATTACTTCAGAAAAGCATTTTTCTGAAAGGCAGTGCCGTTATTAGCAGAGTGGACAGGCTGCTGTGCTGTTACATTAATGCTGTGACCCTTTTCTATCACAACCCTTCTCTAGCCTGCCTTCAACACCTCACCATCAGTTCGTAATGCCTTCTCTCCGTTTTCCTAGTATGGCTGTGGAGTTCCCCCTGGTCCTGTATGACTGTGAGTTTGAGAACATCCAGTGGCATTATGACCGGGAAGTGCAGGAGTTCAACGTTACCCACCTGCAGCAGCTCTGGGCCAGCTACGCCGTCAAGACTCAAGTGCTGCACAACATGTTACAAGGTCTGGACGCTGCTCCCGTGGCTGCAGGGAAAGGTAAGAGATGGCAGAACTGTTCCAAACAAGTAGGTAACCACACGTTGTTGAAAGCGTTGTTCATAGAATCATTAAGGTTGGAAAAGACCTCTTAAGATCATCAAATCCAACCCCACCATGCCCACTAACCATGTCCCTCAGTGCCACATCTCTGCATTTCTGAACACCTTCAGGGCTGATGACTCCACCACCCCTGGACAACCTGTTCCAATATCTCACCAGTCTTTCTGCAAAGAAATTTTTCCTAATATCCAACCTGAGCCCAGCACTTGATCTCATTGTTCCATTGGCCTCAGCCCATCCATCAGCCTGGCCAGATCCCTCTGTAGCCCTTTCCTACACCAGGCAGACTGACGCTTCCTCCCAGCTTGGGGTCATCTGCAGACTTACTGAGGTTGCACTCAATTCCCTTGTCCAGATCATCTACAAAGATACAGAACAGGGCTGGCCCCAGCACCGACCCACAGGGAGCCATTGGTGATGGGTCAGCAGCTGGATTTAGCTCCATTCACCCCAACCCTCCAGCCTTTCCCAGCAGCATTCCCGTCCAACCACGGGTCTGCAGGAGAATGCCGTGTGTTGTTATTTCTTTTACAGACCCAGGGAACGCCGCCCCTGTGCTCTGGGGAGACCTGAAGCCTCCAGTGCACAACCAGGCCAGCAGCTTTGTGGAAGGCGTCCGCGCTCGCGCCTACAAACCGCTGCTGGAGCGGCCGCGGTGCGAGGGGCTGGAGTCCCGCATCCAGCAGTGCCTGCGCAGGGGCCGCGGCCAGGCCGAGCGGGCGGCCAAACGGCTGCGCACGGGGGAGGGGCCGGGGGGGGGGCTCCTGAAGGGCCGCCTTTTGCGCGGGTTTGGTTTTAAACGCGTTTCCTCGCGATTTTTATAAATTCCTGTTGGCTTTAAGAATAGCGGTGCTGCGTTACGGCCTGCGGGGGGGCAGCGCGGGGCCGGGCCTGGGGCACCGAGGGTTGTCGGGGTACGATGAAGCGAGACGCGACGTGAGCGCGGCATGACGCGAGCGCGGCGCGGTTCCGGCCGGTACCTGCGAGCTGCTCACCCGCTCCCTCCTCGCGCCGCGACCGTGGCCGGTTCCCAACCGCCGCTCTCCTTCAAACTGCCGGGCGGGGCGGGGCAGCTGCGTGCTTCCTATAGGCGGTCGCTGCTGTCGTTCGTCTCCTTCTGCCTTCCTATTGGGTGCCTGGGCTGAAGGCCTGCCTCGCCCTGTCCTAGTGGCGGGCGGTGCTGTCGCTCGTCTCCTTCCGCCCTGTCCATTGGGCGCTGGGCTGAGGCCCCGCCCTCCGGCGGGCGGAAGGGGAGGAGCGGAGGAGAACCGGCAAAATGGCGGCGCTCAGTGGGCGACTGTGGCGGCGGCCGGGAGAGGCCTTGGGACGGACGGCGGCGGGGGCGGTGCGGGCCCAGGAGCTGGCGGAGCGACTGCGGGCGAAGCGGAGCGAGGAGAGGAAGAAGAAGGAGGAGGAGCGAGAGGTGAGCGCGGCCGGGCGCTGGCTCCTGGCGTGGGCCCGGTCGCCTCCATCCGCTTCTCGTTCCTCTAGGTGGCCGCGGAGCCGGCGCGGAGGCGGGCCCGGCAGCTGGCCGCGCTGCAGCGGGTGCACCACAATGTGCTGGCCAAGGCTCTCCGGCAGCGAGCCGTATACCAGGACGAGGAGCTGGTGGTGCTCAACAAGCCCTACGGGCTGCCCGTGCACGGTGAGGGGCCGGCGGTTCCCCGTTGCTTCTTACTGCGCTGGCGGGCTGGGGCCGGTGGGACGAGATTCAGCGAGACCGAGCGCCCGCTCACATTAACGCCTTGTAATGCTGCGGGTGTGGGGCAGAGTGCAGAGCTGCAAAGAAGAAAAGGATCTGGGAGCGTAGCTGACGGCCAGGTGAATGTGAGCCAGCAGTGTGCACAGCTGGCCAAGAAGGCCAATGGCATCCTGGCTTGTATCAGAAATGTGCAGCCAGCAGGAGCAGGTGATTGTGCCTCTCTACACAGCGCTGGTGCAGCTACACCTCTAGTGCTGCGTTCGGTGTTGGGTTCCTCGCTGCAACAAAGGCATGGAGGCTCTGGAGCTCATTCAGAGAAGGGCAGCAGAGCTGTTGGGGGTCTGGAGTGCAAATCTTACAGGGAGTAAGATTCCCTTACTGAGGGAACTGAGATTGTTTAATTTAGAGGAGGCTCAGGGGAGACGTTATTGCTCTCTGCTTCTCACTGAGAGGAGGTTGTAGTGAGGTGGGGATCAGCCTCTACTCCCAGGTAGCAGTGATGGGATGAGAGGTGATGGCTTTACGTTGTGCTGAGGAGGTTCAGTTGGATATTAGAAAAAAAATTCTTCTCAGGAGTAGTGAGGTATTGGAACAGGCTGCCCTGGGAGGTAATGGAGTCACCGTCCCTGGAAGTGCTAAAGAAAAAGATAGATGTGGCACTGGGGAACAGGGATTAGTGGGCATGATGGGGATGGGCTGATAGTTGGATGAGATGATCTTAGTAGTCCTTTTCAATCTTAGCGATTCCATGTTGGTGTGTTTTTGTTTTTGATTTTTTAAGCAGAGCTGTGTAGTGCTGCCCCTCTCACTGATCACTGTTAATAGCAAGGGTGGGGAAATCCTGCCGTGTCGCTTTGTATTGCATTAAAGTTAACAGGGATGTGAATGCTTGTCTGGGTTTTGCAGGTGGGCCTGGGGTCAAGAACTGTATCGCTGATGTGCTGCCAATTTTGGCCAAGATGCTGATAAACATGAAAGCTGAACCACTGCACCTGTGCCATCGGCTGGACAAGGAGACAACGGGTTTGATGGTGTTGGCACGGAGCAGGGAGGCAGCAGACAGGATCCGGCTCCTCTTCAAAACTCGCCAGGTGGAAAAGATATACTGGTAGGAAAGGTTTTGGAAGAAAAATCATAGAAGGGCTTAGTTTGGAAGGGACTGAGGGGATCACTGAGTTCAACTCCTCTGCCTTAAGCAGGGTCACCAACCATTAGATCAGACTGGCCAGAGCCCCAAAAGTATCTTTGACAAGCAGCAAAGTGTCACGAGTGTGCAGATATGGGGATGTGGAACTCTGGGAAGTGGTGGATGTTTGATTATAGAATATTACAGTGGTTTAGGTTGGAAGGGACATTACAGATCACAGGCAGGGTTGCCATCCACCAGGTCAGGTTGCCTAAGGCCCCATTCAACCTGACCTTGAACCAACTGCACCACTCAGGTTGATGTCATTGGCACACTTGGTGGGAGTACACTCGATCCCACTGTCTGTGTGACTATGAATGCTTGAGTTCCCAGTTCGGGGGTCTCTCCTGGGGAGAAAAGTGAGAGGTGAGGGAGAGTTTCTATCCTGCTGGATGTGCAAAGGGCTGCAGCAGCGTCATGCAGACCTCTGCTTTTCCTTTGCAGGGCAATTACCGTGGGGAGCCCAGACCCTGCTGAGGGCATTGTGGAAATCCCCATGGTGGAGAGGGAGGTGCAGAGCCACCAACCTCATTACAAGGTGAGCAGGTATCCTCTCAGTCGCAGTTTGGGGCTGGTTTCCCCTTCTCCTGGGCTCATCCTCTCGCTGTGGCTCAGATGACGCTGGCCCCAAACTACCGCGTGTCTCCTGAGGATGGAAAGGTGCTGAAAATCCGCAAGAACCGCAATGCTGAAAGCGCTGTGACGCGGTATCGCGTTCTGGCTGGCTCGTCTGCCTGCTCTCTGCTGGAGCTCCAGCCCATCACAGGTGAGGCTTAGCCAGGTGCTTCTGTGCTGTGCCTTCTGTACAGCCAGGAGCAGTCGTGGAGGGAGGAACAAGCTGTAGGATATGGCCAAGGCTCTGGGAACCAGTGCTGTTTCGCTGCCAGGGCTCTCAGCACAAGGTTACCTGGCATGAGGGTGCTTTGGGTGGGTAGTGAGCGAAGACCTGCTGCCCAATGTGACTGATGTGATGTTTTTCCTTTTCTCCTTCCTCATCTCAGGAGTGAAGCACCAGCTCCGGGTTCACCTGGCCTATGGATTGGGGTGCCCCATCCTAGGGGATCACAAATACTCTCACTGGAGCAAGCTGGCACCACAGGTAAGGCAGATACGGTGCCATGGAGCAGGGCAGAGAAGGCACCAGCTGCTTGGTGGCACACGCTGGGATTCTGAGACCAGACTGCTGACACGGGGTTATGGAAGAGGGTGTTAGGGCTGTCCTCACACCACTCTGTCCTCAATGCAGAAGCTTCCTGAAATAACTCTGAAGAGGTTGAAGCTGCAGCAGAGCAAGTCTCGCCACCTCCCCCTGCATCTCCATGCCTACCGCCTCTCCCTGCCGCTGGGCACCAGTGGGAGCAAGCAGATAGACCTTGTGTGTGAGCCACCCAGCTTCTTCCACAGGGCGCTGAGGAAGCTGGAGCTGGACATTGCTATGGAGTAGGACGAGGCTTGTCAACAGGACTGATCCTTTGTGTCTCCATACTTCTGGCACGTGATAGTGCCGGATCCAGCTGTGCTGCACTGCTGTTTCACTCACAGCAAGTGACGTGATGAGGTTTGTGTTCTGCTACTTGGGAGACACCTTGCCTTCGGGTAATAGAGTTGCTGGCTTAACTTCTGTGCACTTCTTGTCCACAGTCCGTACCTGATCTGGAGCAGAAAGTGTGGTGGGTGCACTCTTGTTTATAGTGATGAGGCTGGGTGGAAACTGGGCATCGACCATTCTGTGCTCTGAACTTGTCCCTGTCCAATAAAGAACCCATTTCTGCAAAGGTGAAGGTTGTGTGGCTCTCCGTGTTCAGGACAGGTGGACCTCAGTGCCTGGGCAGGTTTGAACACCTCTGAGTGTAATGCAATTTGGTTCAGGGCTTCCTTGGCTCAGCCCTTCTGTACTATCTTATATCCTGGCACTCAAATTTGGAGACTGCCTTTGTCTGGGAAAAAAAAACAAAAAAAACCCAAAACAACACAGAAAAAGTAAAATTTGGCAGCAGCTGTGAGTTCTGGCTGTGTTGAGAGGCTGCCCAGAGCCACAGCATGGCAGGGACTCCCCTCAGCTTGACTGAACAATCCAGAGCTCCCCTGGCTTTGGCTGTTGGCTTCTTGGGCAGCAGTCGTATTGCCACAGCTGGGAGCTTTCCTGTCCTCTGTTCCATCTCACCAACTCCTAATTTCCATACTGCTTTTTTCTAGATCCCAATACTTGCATCTCTGTCCTACTGGAAATTGCAGCTTTGTCCCCACTGCGCTCCCCTGGAGCCAGATTAGAGGGTGGGCAAGGGGAGATTGCAAAGCTGGTGCGCAGGGAGCAACAGCTGGTGTGCATCTCAACAGTGCAATCACTGATGTCTTCTCAGCTCCTGGTGCCACTTGGCCTGTCCCCAAGGTTTGGGAACTGAGCAGCAGGACCTTCTCCAGCAGCCCTGGCACGCACAGGGGTGCTGGAAGGAGGCTCTGTACCCTATGAGGCCGCTCTGTACCTGGCTAGGGCTCTTGGTTAGGGTGATGCCCCATCCTCGCTTGTTACGGAAAGCAAAAATAGTCCAGGAGCCCCACGCCCCACGAACATGCTGCTGGAAATACACCTACTTATGACAGAGGGGAGTAAAACCACGGGGATCTGGTCCATGCTAGGACCCATGGTGGCTGGGCAGGAATGCTGCCTTGGCCATGGTGCTGTGACTGCGAGGTTTTTTTTTTCTATTTTGGGGCACGCTATTTGCATTCTTGCCAGTGAAAGGCTTCCCCTGTAATTATCAGTTGATTTAACTCACTATCTAAGCTGTCATTTACAGCTGCCTGGTTGGTAGAACTTGGCATGCAATGTTTCCAGCCGTACAAAGCCTCTCGCCACACTGGTTGCACCTCAGACAGCACCAGGACCCCCAGGCAGCAGCACTGGACTCCATTTCCCCGTGGCTCAGTCCTTCCTGGAGAGGAAAATGTCCCTGTCGCACACGGCTGCTGAGTACATGCTTTCAGATGCCCTCCTCCCAGAGCCCAGCAGCTCCCGTGCCAAAGGATTGCGGCTGGAGCTGCCGAGCGACCGCGTGCTGAAGTTCATCGCAGTGGGGCTGCCCCTCTTCCTGGTCTCTCTGGCCTTCGCCCGGGAGTTCTCTGCTGGTGAGTTGTGGGGGCAGGTTTGGGGTGGTGAGAACTGTCACAGCCTGTTTTTTCACTGTCATGACATTACAGCTTGGAAATCCCACTTTAGGGGTTTTCAATTTTCTGTCTTGGGATTATTGGTTGTTTTTTAATTGATTTTAATCAACCTGATGGGGTTTTGTTGTTTGATGTAAAAGCTTTTATTGATTTTTTATTTATTCTCTTTTTAATTGCTTGCTGGTAGCCCTCCGAGTGCAGCCATGCCCCCTTTCACCTGCTGCCCTGCTCACAGCACCCTGCAGTGCTCCTATCACAAAGGCAGGGTTGTTTTGTTGGGAGCTGTCAGCGGGGTGCTGAGATCTTCCCTGGGACTCTTTGGGGGTTTTACTGTCCCAGGGTTTGGTGCTTGCTTGGATAATGAGAGCAGGCTGGTGATAGCAGCACAAAGCTTCATTGGAAGTGCTGTTTTGTGCATCACAGCACTGAGCTAAAGCTGGATTTGCCACTGTTTTTATGTGGCCCTGCAATGTTTGGTTTTGTGCTGGTTTGTGTCTGGTTCAAATTTCCCTGCTATGAACCTGTGGCTGTGCTTAAAGGGCAGCGTTCAAGAAATAGTAACGCCCTTGCCCCTGACAGCCAGAAAACACTGCAACAGGGACAGATAACTACAGAGAGCCCCATCCTACCTGCTCAGCTCCCCTCCTCCTTGTAGGTTCACAGATCAGCTGTTTCTCGCCCTCCAACTTCACGGGGAAGCAATCTGCCTATGCTGACACAGCTTGCTGGGACTCACTCCTCCACCATGGCTTCGATGCTGAGGGACGTGCTGTCACCAAGTCCCTTTGGGCTCTCAAGGTACACTGGTGGGCTGGCACGGGGCCACCACCTCGGTGACTGGGTGCTACCAGGTCCTGCTGCCGTGTTGGTGGGGGCGGATCCTGAAGGGCAAAGTAGCTGAGCGCCTCATCTCCCCCTGAAATCCCTCTCTCCTGGGGAACCCTAACCTACAGATGGTCTCCCTCAGGTCTTCCCGTACTCACTGCTGGTGGTGGCAGTGCTCATGTATCTGCCCTACCTGCTGTGGCGCTACGCAGCCTCCCCCGCCCTCCACTCTGACCTCCTCTTCATCATCGACGAGCTGGACAAGTCCTACAACCGCTCCGTGCGCCTGGTGCAGCACATGAGGAAGGTCCAGCAGGCGAGCGACGATCCGGAGCAGTTCTGGGAGGAGTACGAGAGGTGAGACAGCGCGGCACAGGCATCCAGCCGTAGCCTCTCCACACCACCTTTGGGTCACCTCCTCCCTCACTGTGGCTTTGGTGAAGCAGTGGGGTGGCTCCAACTCACTGCTCTCTCCCCAGGGCTCGCCAGGAGAGGTACTTTGAGTTCCCTTTGCTGGAGCGCTACCTTGCCCGCAAGCAGCACTCCCACTCCCTGGTCATCATCTACCTCCTGAGGAACCTCCTCCTGCTCTTGTTCTTGGCTGCCACTTGCCTCTACCTGGTCTTCCTCCACCTCAACATCTTCTTCCAGGATGAGTTCAGCTGCTCCATCAAAACAGGGCTGCTCCAGGATGAGCCTCATGTTCCCCCGCTCATACCCTGCAAGCTGGCCTTCTTCTCTGTCTTCCAGCTCATCAGCCTCACGGTTGGTGGTGTGTATGTCCTCCTTATGCCTGTCGTCGTCTACAGTGCCCTGCAGCTCTGTCAGTGGGACAAAGGGCTGCTCTCCGTCTATGAGATGCTGCCTGCCTTTGACCTTCTCAGTCGCAAGATGCTTACCTGTCCCATCAACGACCTCAATGTCATCCTCCTCTTCCTCCGGGCCAACATCTCCGAGCTGACGTCCTTCAGCCGCCTCAATGCCGTCAGTGCCTTGCGGGAGGCCACTGCTGAGAAGCAGGACATCGACACCGTTGTTGACTTCATGACGCTGCTGGCCGGGCTGGAGGCCACCAAGCCCAAACACCAGCCTTGTACGCCCCTGGGCAATGGCGAGGCCATCGGTAGGTTCCCTGGGGTAGAGATGCCCTATTCGCTGTCTTCTCAGCACCCGCACTGTTGCATTCCACCTTGGGGGTGAGGCAGAATCTGTCTGCTCTGGCCCTTAACCTCTGCCCAGACCTTTAAGCTTTTTGGACTGGGGTGCTGCGGAGGGTTGCTGAGGGGGCGATGGCTCCATCTTCCCTATTTCTGACCGGAGACTGGTTCTGGCAGCCAGGGCCGTGATGCTACCACGAGCCCATGCGTGGGCAGGAGTTGCTATAGGAACAGTTTTGCTGAGGAGACTGCAGAGCTGGAGGCTTAAACCCAAACTCTGGTCTAATTGGGGGGCTGGGGGTTGTCCTCATTTTTGGAGAAGACGACAACCCAGCCTACTGATGGGTGGGGGCAAACTAAATTTTGGGGTGCTGGTGTGATGTTCTGCTGTTGCTGTGACAGTGGGGTGGTGGGCAGGCTCCCAAGACACCAACGCTTCCTCTCTCACATGCTTGGATTTTTGGGGAGCTGGGGGGACCTTCTTTGCTGTCTTCTCAAGCTGCTCGCTGTGGTTTCTGGGCTCTGCAAGACAGCTCATCCCTGGCAGGGTGGGAGCCAGAATGTCTGCACTCCTTTCCTGGCCCTAACATGCAGCCTGCGGTCTGTGGTTTTAAAATGAATAAATATGGAAAGAAAGAAAGATTGAGCTGTATTTAGCATCCTTGTTGGCATGGCAACTGCAGGGCTAGCACAAGCAGCTCTGGGCTAGCTGACTGAGAAAAGCCCAGGATGCTGGGTTGAGGTGGTTCAAAGGCCCAGATAATGATGTCTTCTTCCTCCAACCCCATCCAGAAATGAAGCCTGCAGTGGAAGCTAAGGATGAAGACGCCCATGACTCCTGAGCCTGGCCACAGCTCCTCTGCTGGGATCCAGCTCCGTCCTCTTCCACAGCAGCAGTGCTGGTTGTTGTCATTAAACTTTGATTTTGTTACAGGTGTGGTGGTGGCTGTCGGGGGGCAGGCTGAGCTCACCTTTCTGTCTCTCTGTGTTTGGGGCTCCCTTTTCTTATGTGCTGGGGTTGAATTTTTCCATCCTTTCCTGAAAAAAAAAAAAAGTGAAGACGTTGCCTTTCAGTACAGAACTGCGCTGCCTTCATGGGAGTGCTGCTGGGCGCTGCTCCTTTCCTAAGAGCTCGTCCCGGTGTTACAGCAGGAGCGGGCAATGGGGGACCAAAGGTGGGGGAAGGAAGGAGCCCAGGTTTCTCCTTGGAGGAACAGCAACAGCAGGAGGAGAAGGGGAAGGGTGAGAAGAAATTCTCGAAGACAAACGCGGGTCGGAGCGGGAGGGGGGGAGGAAGGGGCGCGCAGGAGCAGCGCGGGGCGACACCGCGAAGCAGCCGGCTAAGTTTAGAGCTGCGGGCTGCAGGAACCGAGCGCGCCGGGAGCGGGGGGGGGGGGTGACCGGGGGAGGGGGCGTGGAGCTGCGCGTCGCGCCGCGCTTCCGTTGCCAGGTGACCGCGGGCCGCCGCACAGCTCAGAGCGTGGCGGTCAGGCAGGAGCGGGGCGGGGGCCGAGGATCGGCGTGAGGCCGGGCGGGGGCTGAGGGCCGGGCCGGGCGCTGCTGCTCGCCCCCCACCCGCACGCGCCCCCTTCTGCTCACCCCCACTCCCCTCCTCCCCCAACCCTTCGGGCGACTCTGCGCAGGCGCGGCGGGCGCCGACGGGTGCGGGCAGCGCCCCCTGGCGGTCTCGCAGGAGCTCCTCCCGGCGGTCGGACACGGGTTCGAGTCCCGCTCTCTCCGCTCGCCGCGGCCGCCATGTCGTTTCTCGACCCCCGCAGCGCCCCGCGGCTGCCCGGCGGCTTCGAGGAGCTGCTGCAGGGGATGGCGCGGGAGGTGCTGAGGGCGCAGCCCGACGACGTGCTGGGCTTCATCGCCCGATACTTCCAGGCGCTGCTGGCTGAGAGGGAGCGTGAGTGAGCCCCGCGCCCGGCCCCGCCCCGCCGCGTGCCCCGTTCAGCGCGCCCAGCCGGGGCGTCGGGCCGCCCTGCCGCGGGCATCAGGCTGCGCTTTCTTCCCAGAGAGCTCCGCCGCCCGAAGGGCCGAGGACGGGGAGGTGGGAGAGGACGAGGAGGCCGAGGCCGAGGCGCCGCGGAGCAGCGGGGCGGAGATGGAGCGCCAGGTGAGCCGCTCCAGCCTCCAGCTGGGCCCTCAGCCCCGCGGCTCTCCGGCTCGCTCGGTGCCCGGCCGCGGAGCCCCGGGCCGTTCAGCCGCCTCCTGCCCCGCGCAGCGCAGCCCTCGTGATGAAGACCCGACCGCCGATTTCCTGACCTCTCAAGAAGCTGCTACGAAAATCCAGGCTGCGTTCCGGGGCTTCTGCACGCGGCGGGGGCTGCGCAGAGCCTTCTCGGAGCCCCCCCGCCCGGCCCCGGGCCCCCAGGACAGCCCGTAACCGGGACGGCTCCGCCGGGAGCGGGCGCCTCGCCCCCGTTTGGAAACGTTCTGACCCAGAATGAGGAGCCGCGATTGGAAAACCTACATTCCCCTCCCAGGCGGCTTCGCGGGGCAGAAAATTCTCTCTCGCGCTGCCGCCGAGGCACTTGCATAATGAGAACTTAATAAAATGCCTCCAGTAACGCTCTCCCCAGGTCCCTGCTGTTATTAGCAGCTCTCACCTGAGGTTTCTCCCCCGAAAGCTCAATGTTAGCCGCCGTGCCCTTCCAGCACGACCGAGAGAGGGGAGAAAAGCTCTGCAAAGGCGCGCGCCTCGAGGTGGTATTTAATGCTCTATATTTAGGCCCCTGCATCCCTGGAGGTTGTCAAAATTTAATATCGTCCCTGTGAGAAGGAGGGATGTGACACTGCTCCTCTGCCACTACCCCCCACCAAGGCTGGGATGCGTCTGGATCTCTGCAGCAGTTTGGGGGTCCGTGTGGGTCCTCCCAGCTGTGTTTGGGAAGCGATGGTGAAATCCAGGCAAAAATCAAAGCCCTGAGAAATGGACAGTGGGGCGAAAAATGGGCGATGGGCGATGGAGGGCCGCTCGGTGTGGAGGAACCTGCAGTCCCCCCAGGCTCACCTCGGAGGGAAGCCACGCCGCCTTGCAGCACTGGCGTCGGGAGCTGCCATGTGCAGGCTGAGAAAAACAGGAAGGAGGGATGGGGACAGCTGGCGGGGACCCCATGCAGGGCTGGTGCCAGCCGCTGCGCCCTGACCCTGCGCCGCCTCGCCGGCTGCCAGCCCCACTCCCCAAAGGGTTCTGTGCCAACACCGCGTTGTGCCGGCATGTCCCCAAGCTGGGGCTTGTCACCCATTTCCATCCCATGGGTTATGTGTTGTTCTGCATCCCAGGGTGATGCTAAGGGGTTTCTGAATGCCTGGAAAGCATTGCTCAGGGTGGATGGGTTTTGGGGTGCCCTCACTGTGAGCAACAGCGCGGGGAGAAGAAGGCAGAGGCTGGCATGGGCTCAAAATGCTGCTAATGATTAGAAATGTTCTGGCATTTTGCGTCCCTCCTCCGCAGCCTGCAGGATTCGTGGTGATCAGCGACTCTGCCAGGACTGAGGAGCTGCGGATGGAGCTGCTTCTGAGAGTCCAGGGCCAAAACGCTCCCCAGGTCCCTTACACTGAGGGATTTTACAGGTTTGGCAGGTAGTGGGATGAGCTTTTTGCACAGTGATTTTTGACGTTTCCCATTAGCACAGATTTTTCCTGGAGCCATCCCCTCGATGCACCCATCGCCCTGGCTCTGCTTAGCTCCCCAGAAATGCCTCCTCTTGCCTTGCCAGGAACCAGCGATCAATCCGGAGGCTCTAAAAAGAGAAGGGGATTGGTTTCCCATCTGAAGACACCGGCTGAGCGGTGCAGCCTTTGTCTGGAAGCTGGAGCAGATCGGTGCTGAGAGCGCAGCTATTTTTTCCCCGTGCTGGTGGGAAGAGGTGGCATTTGCAGGGACTTGAAACCGGCTCCGCTTGGGAGAGCAGGAGTGAGCAGCTCGTGGGGATTCGAGGGATGCTGAGCCCTGCAACCTGCGTGCCACTGCGAGTGCTTGTGCCTGGAGGCGGCTGTGGATAACCCCCACAACCCCTCTTAGGGCAGGATGGAAATATGGAGATGGGGACAGACAGATTGGGAGAGAACAGGGGCAGTGATGGGAAAGGGAGCAGAGATGGTGACAAGGAATGGGGAAGGGAATGGATATGGAGATAAGGAAGAGGGGCAGTGAGGGGTGCGTGGATGGGGAAGAGGACAGGGGTGGGGGGAGACAGACAAGTATGATGGGAGAGGATGGGGACAGGGATAAAGGGTGTTGGGAATGGGAACAGAGATGATGGTAGGAACAGGGATGGGAATGGGGACAGGGATGGGGACAGAGAGGGTGATAGACAGGAGCAATGATGGGGCAAGGATGGTGATGGAAGCAGGTGATGACGATGTTGAGGTTGGGGGGGAAACAAGAATGAGTGTGATGAAGGGGATGGGACAGGAATGGTGAAATGGGCAGCGATACTGAGATGGGAACAGGGATGGGGACAGGGACAGGGGTGGAGATGGGGATTGTGGTGGGGGTGGTGACAGGTCAGTAACAGCAGTGGGAACTGTGACAGCGACAGGAACAGGGATGGTGATGACAACAGGACAGAGGTGCTGACCACCGCGATGGTGACAGGGGCACCAATGACGCCGGCTGACGGCAGTGGGAAGGTTGCTGCAACAAAAGCCCCGGGCGGGTGGCGAGGCCAGCCCTGCAGGCACCCTGCCTGGGGGCACCCATCCCCACCGGGTTCTGGGGGGCCACAGCGTGATTTGGGGGCTGGCCAGAGCCAGCATTACTGTGCGGAGCCCACAGGCGAGTTGTGTGGTTGCTTAGCAACCCCAAACCCGGATTAGAGGAGTGTGAGGTGGGCGATGCGGGGGGCTGCGGCTGCACCCCCTGAGCTGCTCTGGGGGTCCCCATGGCTCCTGGTGGCAGCGTGGCCCAGGGGATTGGCACAACACCCCCAAAGATGTCTCGGGTTGAACGTTTTGCTAGAAAACACCCCCAAATTGGGAGTGGGATGCTGCTGTGAGTGCGACCACCGTGAGCAGCCCTCCTCACCATCCTCATCCGTGCCCTCCTTTGGGGCCCAGCGCTAAGTAGGTCAGAGCTGGTGTGGGAAGGTTTCCTTCTGCTCCTGCAAAAACACAGCAGGGGGTAAAGCCCCCAGCCTGAGGGCTCAGCATCACACCTGGAAAGTCACATCACCCCCAAAAGTCACGTCATCACCCCCGAAAATTCACCCCGAAAAGGTCACATCAACCCCACTTGCTGCAGTATGTGTGACCCTGGTGTGCCCTGGCCCCCGTGTCCACAGTGAAATCAGCTCCGCTGGGAAAAAAACGCAGCCCCCCCACCCTGATCTGGGCTGTGGGCACAGGGCCCAGCGCCCCATCCCATTAAATACTTGATAGCATCTTCCGTGCTGCGGGATTTATATTGCATGAAGCCCTGGCATGGGCTGCCGGCTCCTTTAAGCGTTAGGAGGGAGTCGGAGGCGAGGGGAGTCGCTGGGAGAGAAATTGGAGGAGGCAAAAAAAAAAAAAAAAGAGAAGGGGAAAAAAAAAACTGAAAAGCTGAATCCCGATCCTGGCAGGAGCAGCAGTGCTGGCGGGGAGGTGGGCTGAGCGGCGCCCCGAGGAAGCGCATTACGTAGGCAAGCGGCTCCGCTCAACTTGCCACCTGCGCCGAGAGCCCCGCACCGCCATGGACTGCTGCAACGTACGTACCCTGCTGCTTTCTGATTGTTTTTAATTAGTGTGGGTATTATTTTGCTTTCTGGTGGTGGTGGTGGTTTGCTTTTTTGCTTTCACACGGGGCTGCGCGTCGTGCTGTTGCAGGAGCGTGGGTGCTGCACCCCTGTGCGTGGCACCCCAAAACGCCACCGCTCACGGGGTGCTCAGGGACCCCAACCCTTCCTGCCGCCAGGTTTGCGCCGCATTCCACCAGGGCAGAGCAGGCAGCAGCCCCTTTCCCCAACCCAGCATGCAGACACCTCGTTCTGCTCCCATTCAGCCTTGTCTCCCCAGAACGTCTCCCCAGGAGGAGCGAAGGTTTCCTACAGACGAGGGGCGAAGCGGCTGCTTGCTGCTTCGGAAAGAGGTGACTGCTGCACCCCTGGTGAGCAGCGCTGCATCCTCCGGCCGGGTCACGTTGCTCAGCTGCCAGAAGAGCACACGGCTTTCCCCTTTCTCCCTTTTTCTCTCTATTTTCCCATTTTTTCCCTCCTTCTCCCCCTTTTTAGCCCTCCTGCTCCGCCGGCATCACAACACTGCTGGCTGCCTGCAGGGTGGCAAAGCCCTCCCTGGGGACAGGATTTCCCCTGTGGATATACAAATTGTCCCTGTGGGTATAGAATTTCCCCTGTGGATATAGGGTTTCCCCACTGTGTATAAAATTCCTTCCCTGGCTATAGGATTTCCCCTCTGGCTGTAACATTTCCATCCCGACGATCGCATTTCCCCCAGCTCTGTCACTTAAGCTTCCGACACCCTCCCCAGTGCCACAGCAGCGCTTTGCAGTGACACCGCGTGCCCCCTCCCCAGCAGCACAGGGCACGATGACTGCGGTGTCCCTGCTCCTGCACTGACCACCCCTCGGTGTGAATCAGCCCCAGCTGCTTTCTCCCACGGGTGAACGTGCTGTGGCCGCCGTCCCTTTGCTCCTGAGGAACCCCCAGAACTCTCCCAAAAGTCCTTAGGAGCCCAGGGCAGGGTGACGCAGTGATGCAGTGGCAGTGGGATGCCACCGGTCCTGTTTGGTCAGTGGGTGATTTTCCCCCTGTTTTTCACTCCTTTCCACACCTCAGAGGTGACGGCGTGTATTATTGCCCTCGGCTCCACGCAGCGCCCTGGGGAGATGCTGTGGGTCAGGATGTGGTGCACGGGGTGTGTGCTTCCAGCAGGGTGCTGATGCAGTCGCTTCCCCCACATCTCCCCAATTTCCCCGTTGCTTTTCCGTACTTTGTGGGATGGCGGCACCTTTCCCACCCCGCAACCACGCACCGTCGCCCGCACACACCCTGACCCCGACCCCCGGGCCCCAAACCACCCCCCTAATGGCTGCTCACTGCCGGCAGGAGGGCGCCTGCACGAAGCTGGATGAGGACATCCTGGACATCCCCCTGGACGACCCCGACGCCAACGCGGCGGCGGCCAAGATCCAGGCCAGCTTCCGCGGGCACATGACCCGCAAGAAGATCAAGGGGGGGGAGATGGACCGGAAAGCCAAGGACGCCGAGTGCGCCAACAGCACCCGCGGCGGAGACCTCCGCAACGGCGATTAGGTACCGCGGCCCCCGTCCCCATCCCAAGCCCTGCTTCTCCAGCTCCGAGCCTCCCTCCGTCCCCCTGGGATGCTGCGATGGAGCTCTCCTTGCAGGAGCTCAGCAGCGCTGCCTGCCCTAATTCTGCGGGTGCACCGTAGTAGTTAGCATAGGAACGGCGGGGAAGGCGAAGCCCTAGATTTGAATTGAATTTCTCCCTTAGCAACACCACCCCAAACGCCTCGCCTCAGCACATGCTATTTTTAAAAGCCTGTGTCACAGTCTCCTGGCAGGAAAAGGGAAATTTAAAAGCGCCCACGGTGCCGGGCTGTGGGGCTGGGGGTGCCGGGGTGCCTGGGGAGCAGGGAATGGCCCCACGGCCCTGGGGTCAGCAGCTGTGCTGCCCCACTGCCCCCCGGCTCCACCCAGGAATGGGGGAGGGGGAGGCAGTGCGGCTGTGGGTGGGAGGCGTAGGGGCTGGAAGAGGGGATGCAGCGGGGTTACAACCTGGGATGGAAGGGGGATGCACTGAGAATGCAACTTGGGATGCGGCTGGAATGGAATAGGAATGGAATGGGACTTGGGAGCACAACTGGGATGGGGGGGATGGAATAGGGATGCACTGGGGATTGAACTGGGAGTGCACCAGGAAAATGCAGGAGGAGATGCAACTGAGATGCAGCAGGGGTGGAATGGGGATGGCTGGAATGCAACCCGGATGCCATGCAGGTGAAGATGCTGTAGGGAGACAGCGGCGCTTTAGGAGGGGTGCAGTTGGTTTCACTGAGGATGCAGTGGGACTGTGGTAGTGATGAATTTGGAATTCAGTGAGGATGTAGCGGGGATGGACTTGGGATGCAGTGGGCTTGCATTGAGGTGCAGTGGGTTGAAATGGAGGTGCATGGGGCTGAAGTGGGGCTGCAATGAGGATTCTATAAGGATGTAGAGGGAATGGATTGAGGATATGATGGGGCTGCAGAAAGTGAGGATGAAGCAGAGATACAGCTACAAATTGCAGGGGCTGGGGAGCTCATTAGAGCTCGTTAGGCTGCCTCGCTGGGTGATCCATGCAGGGGCTCATCTCTGTGTGGGCTCCAGCCAAGCTGTGCTGGGTTCTGCTTCCCACCGAAGTCCTTTGATCCTGGAATGTCCAGGGTAGGGGTCTGAGCCTCCGGCCCCAAGGGCTTGTGGTGCCCCAGCTGCATGGACAGAGAGGGGGCAGGCAAGGGGCAAGGGGCAGGGGGGAGGGAGTCGTAGGAATTGCAGGGACAGGGTGCAGGCAGGGCATGGAGAAGGCGCAGGCTGCAAAAGCAGAGTGCAGGACCAGGGTGCAAGGTACAAGATGTGAGGTGCAGGATGAGGGTGCAGGCAAGCATGAAAAAGGTGCAGGCTGCAACAGCTGGGTACAGGGTACAGGCAGCCCCGTGCACACCACTGACAGCTCTGCTTTCTCCTTGCTTGCAGGCCCTGCTGGACTCCCCCTGCCGAGCCCCCCCGCCGCCGAGGAGCCCCTGCTTCTCCCCATACCACCCCAGCATGCGTCCCCCCCCCCCTCACCCGCCCCAGCCCCAATAAAGGTCCCTGCCAGCGGCCGCACTGTCCTTGGCGCCGAGGGGACGCGGCAGTGTCGCTCAGTGGGGTGAGAGCTGTGACATGCAGGTGGACAGCCTGGTGTCACCAATCGCAGCCACGTCCAGTGCGATGTCACGCAGGGCACTGTTCAGATGTGTGACATCACTGCTGGACACGCGGGGCTGTCGTGGTGTCACACCCACGTGTGTGGCACGGTGTGATGGCACTGGGGGCTGGGAGCTGGCGCTGCTGTGGCATCACTGATGGGCGCGGGGCGGCTGCTGCGACATCATCCGAGTGGGTGTGACATCACCGAGGGACCTGGGACAGCCAGCCCAGGTCTACAGGCGAGGCAGCCCCCCGGGGCACGCTGTCACCCTGTGCCACCAGGCGCAGCGCTGGGACATCGCGATGGGGACAACGGGTGCGATGGGGCACCGTGAAGGCTCCCGTGTGACATCACACAGCCACGTGATGCCACCCCGAGGGACGCAGGGCCACCGACCCCCCGCACCCTCACGAAGTCACCCAAAAGCAGTTTCAATCAAAAAAAAAAAAAAAAAACCTAAAAAGAATTTCTCCCTGCCCCCCCCATCGCCACCTCCAACCCTTCCCCCAACACTTTTAATGCTCTTTTATGAAAAATATCCCGTTTCCATTGATACATAAAAAAAGGGGACCCCCCTCGGAGCGGGGCTGGGTCGGGGCGCTGGCCAGGGCAGAGCGGGGCACCTCCCGCCCCATTAAACACCGCAGGAAAGTCCGGCTGCTCCAGGCGTCTTTACAAAAAAATGAAGAAAAAATGGAAAAAAGGGTAAAAAAGCCCCAAAAGAGGGCAGGGCGGGGAGCCAAGGGGAGCAGCCTCTTTCTGGGGGGGTCACACCAAGGAGCCGGCCCGGCTCTGGGCAGGCACCATGACGGGGACGGCTCCGGCCCGCGCCAGGCTGGAGGGGGGCGGCCCACCCGGGGGGGCGACGGGCTGCGGGGGGTGCCAGGGGGCCCCGTTGGTGGCGGGGGGATGCGGCCCGGCCCGGGGGGGTCCCTGGTAGCTGCCAGCAGCGGTGAGGACCGAGGCAGTGTAGGAGGGGGGGGAGGCTCCGTAGGGTCTGTCCCGGGAACCCACGATGGAGGACAAAGTGCTGGTCTTGGAGATGGTGTCTGCAGGGCGGCTCCGCGTCCAGGTGGGGGTTTTGGGGGCCACGGCATCTTCCCTGTGGAGGAGGGAGAAGGTGGCACAGGTTGCTGGAAGTGCAGCTATTTTCTCCTCCCCATTCTCGGATGATGCTCCCCAGTGCTGCTGAGCCGCAGGAGCCCCTCCGTGTGGGGGTAAAAGGGAATTCACCCAAAGGGAGGGGGAAAAACGGTGGGAAAGAGCCGTGTTGACTCTGAAACCCAATGAGGGCCACACTGAGGTGCAAAACCTCCTCCCGTTACCGCTGAGCCCCAGCGATCCCCGCCCCGGGGGCTGCCCTCACTTGATCTCGTTGGCCGCTTCCTCCTGCCCGTCGCGTTTCTTCCTCCGGTAGCCGAGCAGCCGTTGGGTGAAGAAGGCGACGGTGGCCAAAGCGCCCACAGAGCCCAGCACAGCGCCTGCGATGATGGCCCCCTCGCTGGCTGCCAGGACAGATGGGTGGGGGAGATCTTTGCCTGTCCCACCGTGGGGACCGAGCCCCTGTCCCCAGCCCCGCGGGCGCACACTCACTTGACTGCACCTCCAGGATGATGCTGCACTTGGCTGAACCCACGCGGTTCTCCGCCTCGCACTCGTAGAGGCCCGACATGTCCAGAGAGAGGTTCGTCAGCTTCAGAGTTCCCCTGGCCCGGTCTGCAGGGCAGAAATTGAGGTGCTGCTCTGTGATCACCTGCCCACCACCGCACACCTCCCAGCACAGCGGGGATGGGAGCGGGAGGAGTTACAGGGATGGTCCCCTGTGTCACCCCAGGGTGAGGTTAGTCAGGGGCAGAGTTCAGGGGATGCTCCCCCAACGTTCCAGCAGTGGGCAGAGCTATGGGGACTTCCACCTGTCCCCTTGCACAAGGAAGAGCGCGGGCAGAGTTAAGGGGAAGCTCAGCAGAGTTGGGGGCAGGCAGAACCAAGGGCCCAAACCCAACCCCTCCAGCTCTCCCCCCACCAAACCTTGCCCAGGTTTTCCCACCCCCTCAGCCCACCTTACCCTGAGCGGGGGGAAAGAAGACCTGCTTGGTGGGCTCCTGGCGCTGCCACTTGTACAGGGGGGATGGTTTGCCCTTCTGGGAGGCGCAGCTCAGCGTCACGTTGGCTCCCACCGTGGGGCTGCCCTTCAGCCTGCAGGCTGGCGGCGCTGGCGGCACTGCGGGCAGCGGATCGGCGTCAGTCCCAGCACGAGGGGCACCGGGGGACGCAGGGCGCCCTGCGGGTCCTTACCCAGCACCGTGAGGTTGATTATGGCCATGCTCCTGATTGGGCTGATGATGTCATCCACCACGTTGACGGAGCAGATGTACTGGCCTGAGTCTTGCTCCCGCGTGGCATTGATGAAAAGTGAGATGTTGTGGGTGAGGACGGGGTGCAGGAACCCCACGCGGGGCTTCAGCTCCGTCTCCTCCACTTTCACCTCCCCGTCCAGGTATGTCAGGATCTGCAGGGAGAAAACATTTGCTCATACAAATCTGGATGGCACTGCAGGAGGGGAATTCCCCCTAAATCCTGTCTTGGGGGCACCAGTGGCTGCATGAGCCTCCTCCATTCTCACTCATACTCTGAGCATCCACAGCACTGAACCATGGGCATCTCCATCATGAGCACCTCCTCATAATCTCCCAAACATGGGGACCACGAGCATCCCCTCATCACGAAGACCTGCCTTCCGTGGGCATCTCAAGCATCCTCCTGTCATGGGCATCACAGGCATCTCCCCATTGTGGGCACCTTCTCATCACGGGCACCGTGAGCACCTCCTCTCCATCGCGGTTCCCTCACCAACATGGGCAACAGTAAGCATGTCCCCATCATGGACGTCCCCCTACCCGTGGTACCACGAGCATCCCCTCATCACGGGCACTTCACCACCACTCCATCCCCATCACCTGGAAGTGCTCAGCAGCTGCCTTCTTCAGTATCCAGCTGATGTAGGGCTTCTTCTGCGAGCTGCTGGTGTACCAGGCGGGCAGCACGGCTCCCTCCCCTTCCACTGAGTAGACAGAGCCCGTTCCCACGTGCACCTCCAGCACAGCTGAGCAGACACCTGCCCCGCAGGAAAACGGGACACGTCTCAGCCCCGGGTGCCAGTTGTACAAAAACAAAATAAAACACAAAACAAAGAAAACAAACCAAAACAAAGCCCCACTAATTGTTAGAACAACTCCCTGTTCCAATGCAAGGAAGAGAAAAGTCCCGTTATCGCCCGGAGGCCGTGCTGGGAGGAAACCTTTCCTCCTTCCCCACGACGGGAAGGGCTCTCCGGATGCAGGACAAAGCTTTCCTCCCACAGCCGCTTCCCCACCAGCAACACGGGAAGCCCCCACCCCACTGCGGGTTGGGGATGGACCCCCGCACCCCAAAAAGGCTCAGCACGGCGCTGCACAGCACTGGGATGCAGCTACACCTGCAGTGCCCATCTGATCTCTCGTGGGGGCACCCAGGCAACACCCAGCCCCACGCCGCATCGCTTCACACCCCAGCATTTCACACCCCCCGCCCCGTCCCCCCCGCAGGTACTAAATGGGGATTACTGAAGGTGACGGTGACAAAGCCCCCGCAAAGTTCCCCCCCAGCACCCACCCCCCAAAACGCAGCCAGGAGGGGGGACCGGAGCGGGTCAGGGAGGGGGTGCCCGGCTGCGGGGGGGGATTATTTCCCAGCTTTGCTCTGAAAAGGATCAGCTGGAAAATAATCTGCTCAGGCGAGGTCGGGCACCCGGAGCGGGTCTGCATCTGGGGCTGAGGAACGCTGAGCCCCGCCGCCCCCACGTCTCACGTCCTTTCCCCAGGGATGTTCTGCAGGGGGGAGAACACGGCGGGCTGCGCTCCGTCCCCGCTGCGATTTGGAGCAAATTTGTTTTGCAGCAAAAAGGAGAAAGGGAGCAAACGGGAAGATTCGGGCATCCTGGCACCGCCCGCCTGGGTCAACTCCCGGAGTAAAGCGCCGTCAGGCACAGCCCCCCAAATCATGGCCCCCTCCGCCCCGTCCCCACACGCAGGAACTCCTCCGGGATCTTTCCAGGGCGGGAAGATGACAACACGACGCCCGCGGGTATTTTTAGCTGCCTCCGCGCATCCGCTCTTCCCCCCGCGAGGAATCGGCGCCCGCAGCCCCGCGCAGGAAGCGCTGCGCCGGCCGATAACGCCCGACCCCCCCGGGCCTCCTCGGGCGGTTCCGGCCAAGGAGCAGCGGGGACGGCGGGGCCGGCCGAGGGCAGACACCTCACTGCCTAAAATAGCTAAACCCGACCTAAGCGCTTAAAACCTTAAGTCCTACCCGGGGGAAAAACAGCGCCGGAGGCGGCAGCGCAGATCTCAGGGATGCAAAGGGCGCGGTGAGAAAGAAATAAAAGAGTACTTTAGAAGAACAGCGCTCGGAGGACAGCGCAGACGGGCTGAGTCGTGTGGCAGTTTGGGTTTGATGCGGGAGGTGGGATCGTGCCATCCCCGGAGCTGTGCGTGCTGGGAGCAAAAAAGCAGTGATTGGGGTCCATTACTGCCCCCTCACCCCACAGAAATGCCGTATTTTCGCCCAGCAGCATCTGCCTGGCCTGCATAAAGTACAGCGAAAAGAACACAAGATGGGCAAAGTTAAGGTGAAGCGGGGCTGAGCAGCACCAGCCATACAAAGCCCTGGGGCAGAATGCTCTGGGCACCCCGGAACATCCCACTGAGCTGGCCTCGAGATAAAGCCCTGAAATCTTTCAGAGATGGGAGACAGCAACAAATACATCCATCATTGCTCACAGGATGCCACGGCCATGAGCAAACAGTTCTGCACCGAGTGCCTGTGTCATCGGGCTGTTTTCCACCAGCGAGCCCCAGGATCGG